ACGGAAACTAGACAAGTGACTATTCTCCCTATGAAAGGGCGCTCTGTGGTGTGGGTGTGTGGGTGTGGGGGTGTGGGTGTGGGTGTGGGTGTGGTTTTTAGGCCAGAAAAGGTGAAAGGAGGGTTAATGCCTGTGGCTGTTAATTGATCCTCTTCCTGGGCCTCAGTTTGATTGAAGAAGGTGAGAATCTGTAATCTGTCTAGTTTATCCATATCCAGTCATTCAGCCTGGAAATTTTCCATTTTCTTGGACACCTGATGGCCTCGGCTGAGGAGCCAACTTCACATAATTGCTGGAGAGTTAGGGAAAGAATCCTTCCCGGCGTTTCGTTTCCATCAGTGGGATAGGAAGGGGGTGTCTAAAAGTTTTGACCTGTTGTGTCTGTCTACTGCTATCAAGTAGGAATGTTCATGGGTATTTTGATAACTCTCATTTGCCTCACTTTTTGAAGGTTCCAAATGGAAAGTATTTATTGACCAGATTAACAGGTCTTTGGAGAATTACGAACCATGTTCAAGTCAAAACTGCAGCTGCTACCATGGGTGAGTTTTTCCTTTGATTAGTCTTTGAGAGTTTACTTCTCGTCAGGAGGAAGTATCCTAAGATCCTGAAGAGACCTTGGTTACGGTGGTTAGAGAGCCAAGCATATTTTGAGAGCAGAAAAGCATGCCTGAGGTGGTTTTCCTATTTCTAGGGAATAAAAATGCCATGGGAGAGGGAAGGCCTGGGTGGTCTCAGGATTGCTGCTAACTCCCTGTGGGATTGAGTTTATGTACTTGTCTGTTTTCCCCACTGGACTGAAAGCTTCTTGAGGTCAGGATCTACGTCTTATTCATTGTTATACACTCCCCAGTGCCAGCCCTTAGTAAGTACTCAGTAAATATTGCTGAATGAATGAACATATTTATAAATGAATATAATCCTAAGTTTCTGTTGGTTATTTCTAAAGTATGGAAATTAGGGAGGCAGCATTAGGGAGGGAGTGTGGTCTGATAGAAAGATATCTTTGCAAGCTGTCAGCAGGCCTGGGTTCTAGTCCCAGATCTCCCACTAATTAGCCCTGTAGCAAGTCACTTAACTTACTATGTACTGAGCTTTAAAAGGGATATGAAAGAGTTAAGTTCTGGTTATTTCTGTCAGGCTGATAGAGTACATGGGGATGGGTGTGGGCCAGACAGACCAGAACAAGGGAGTCAGACAGTGGTTGACTGTATGGCATAAACTGTACCTTCTGTGGCATTCAGAGAGGGGGATGTCAGCGGGGACTGCAGTGACTGGGTGGTCATGGGTGTGGCATGAGTGGCATGGAGGAGGAGTATGGATCAGATAAGGAAGGGACAATCCAGATGGAGGGAGGAAGAAGAGAAATTGACTTGCTTTTTGCTTTTTGTGGCTTTGTTGTCCATGTTTTAGATTACCTATGGTGCTTCTGGGAAAAATGTGCTCATTCTTGCCCTCTATTCTTTCTCTCTACTTACTGTGTTATCTAATACTAAACCAAAGTACACAGATAGGAAGGACGTGGAATGGTATCACTCTCTTGGCCTGCTTTCCATGACGATTTCCGTTCTTTCCCAGAGTCATAGAAGAGGATCTGACTCCTTTCCGTGGCGGCATCTCCAAGAATATGATGGTGGAGGTGGTCAGGCGGAAGTTGGGGACCCACTATCAGATCATTAAGAACAGATTATACCGGGAAAACGATTGCATGTTTCCTTCAAGGTAAGAATAATGAGGAATATATATTTTCTATCCTTATTATATATGGGCTTACTTAATACTGTTCTCACAGAGAAGCCAATTCAGGGGACAAGTGAATCCCCTCTCTTATTTCAGAGGGACTACAAAATAATGACAAGCTCTTCTTGCCTGGTTATTTTTCTTGGGAACCCCTGCCCCCCTTTCTCCTATATGACTGCCTTAGTTTGCTATACCCAGGGCAGACCTTTTGAGATCTGTTCACTGACGGCTGAGAGAATTCTTTATGCTATATAAGGGAAGTAGTCTTAAGCTCCTCCCCCGGCCTCATCTTTAGCAAGATCTTCCCATGCAGCTGAGGGAATGCCCGTCTCCTCTCTTGGTGAGGCCTGGTCACATCACTCCAGGTGACTGGCCGTGGCTCTGCCCCTTCTCTTCCTTCCCCGGATATATAGCCGCAGAACACAGGCTGATGACATCCAGCAGGAGTGAGCTGAGCCAAAGGAGGAGATGAAGCACAGGTATTTACTGAGTGCCTGTCATGGTCCTAGTATCATTGTAGATCCCGAATATTTGAGGAAAGGTGGCAGAGAGTTGAGAGGAGGCCCTGAGGCTACAGATTGCACAGGTGCCACTAGCCACAACTTCAGGTGTGAGACGTGAGGTGACATATCAGTGGGCTGGGGACTGACAAGGGAGCAAGGAGGGTCACAGACTGAGCCTAGAATTGGGGTTTAGGCAGCATTACATACAACAAATGATAGACCCCCCCCGCTTTAGGAGTTTTTTTTAAAACTCAAATCTTTATAAAAATAACCCAAAAAACCTATTGCCTTCGCGTCAATTCCAACTCATATCGACCCTATAGGATAGAACTGCCCCACAGAGTTTCCAAAGCTATAATCTTTGTGGAAGCAGTCTGCCACATGTTTCTCCCTTGGAGCAGCTGTGGGTTCAAACTGCTGACCTTTTGGTTAGCAGCTGAGCACTTAATCACTGTGCACAGCTTTATAAAATTCGAAGATATAAAACCCAGAGGGCATGGTGTTTTTTTTACCTAAGAGCCTCTTTTCTCTTCTAAACAGTCCCTGTTCTTTTGTTGAAAGTAAAATAAGCGAGAAGTGTTACAAAAAATATCCGTCTGTTTTGACATCAGGATTTATATTGATAACAACTTTATTGTAAATTAATACATATTCGCTGCAAAAATATGTAAAAACAACAAGAAAGAAAATGAAGATCACTGTTACAGATTGAATTATGTCCCCTAAAAATATGTGTTGTAAATCCTAACCTATAGGGTCGCTGTGAATTGGAATCGACTCGATGGCAACGGGTTTTTTTTTTTTTTGGTTTATGCCTATGGTTATAATCCCATTTGGGAATGGACTGTCTTTGTTATTTTAATGAGGCAGAATTAGGGTAGGGTGTATTTTGAGTCAAATCTCTTTTGAGATATAAAAGATTAAACAAGCAATCGAGTAAGCAGAGATGGGAGAAGAAAGATGCCAAGCCACATGAAAGTCTTCCATGAGAAGAAGCTCAACCAGGCAAGGACCCTCCTTGAGAGCTGACAGAAAGAGGAAGCCTTCCCCTAGAGCTGGCACCCTGAATTCAGACTTCTAGTTTCCTAAACTGTGAGAAAATAAATTTCTCTTTGTTAAAGCCACCCACTTGTGGTATTTCTATCATAGATAACTAAGACAATCACTTAATGTCCTTATACCATGAGGAAATCACAGTTACGTTTTGGTTATCAAGTGTCAGGAGGAAATAAAGTGGTAGTGGGGAAAGTCACTGAGGTATTTTAAACAGACATTTGTTTCATTATTTGGGAGAATAATAGATAATTTAATTACAAAGTATGAACATAGGAAGATTTATAATTTCCACAAATGAGAAATAAAATACAAATATAGGCATTGTTGGATTTTAAATGCTTACCCAATGTTCAGAAGCTAGCTGAACAATTTCCAGATGAAATTTATTACTTTCAGAGTTTCTCAAAGGCACATGTCTGCTTATTCCGTACCTCAGAGCATTCTGGTCAGAATCATAAGGTCTTAGAAATGTTCCTAAGGAAGTACAGACCTTAAATACATTGATGGTAATATCTACAATATTACTACTATTATATTGTCTACTCTGTATTACTAATGACACTGAAAGTTACCTACCCCAGCTACATGTACAACTAAGGAAAACAGAGGATAAAATTGAAATAGAAGGAAATATTCAGAATCAGAGTTCTTAATGAAATGGAAACTGCTATATAATTCCCATCTAGCTACAAATAGTATCTTTCTAGATCTAGATAATTTTAGTTCACCAGGTTTCAGAGACTTGTATGACCTTTTAAAAATTCATCGTTTTGAACACATTAAAATACAAACTCCGCATTTTAAGGATGAGCTGAGAGATTTTGCTGAGGAACCAGAAGACTGTCTAACATAAAGAAATTTCAAATATGGGGAGTAATGGTATTTTTTATAACAGCTTTTTTGAGATATGGGTGACATAAAATGAACTGCAAACATTTAAGACATGCAATTTGATAAATTTTGACATAACAAAACAAAACCACACTCGTTGCTGTCAAGTTGATTCTGACTAATAGTAACCCTGTAGGACAGAGTAGAACTGCCCCATAGGGTTCCCAAGGCTATAAATCTTTATGGAAGCAGACTGCCGCATCTTTCTCCTGCAGAGCGGCTGGTGAGTTCGAACCACTGACCTTTTGATTAACAGCCGAGTGCTTAACTACTGCGCCACCAGGGCTCCTAGTTTTGACATACACCAAAATGATGAACATAGTCATCACTCCCAAAAGCATCTTTGTGCCTCTTGTGCCGCTATAATCCCTCACTTCCACCCTTCCCCTCTCCCCCCAGGCATCCATTGGTCTATGTTCTCTCATTATATCGATTATTTTCTAGGCTTTTATATAAATGGAATCATACAGTAGATTTAAAAGTCAAATGTGAAAGAAAATAAGTACTTTAGCTGTCATGTGTAAGTGTACTGCAATAATAATTTTTTAAAAACTCTAACTCAGTTTCTATTTTAGTATCAAAAGATTATTATATATACATGGGAAATACTTGGACAACTCAAAGAGATAAACAATGATAAGGACACTTCTCTAACCCTGTCGACTCTAAACTTCTAGCCCCTGAGTCCTCTTCTCAAGAGACAACCATGATTACAAGTTTCTTGTGTATCTTTCCGGAAATAATCTGTATATGTACAAGCATCTAGACTCATCAACAAATTAGAACATGCTGTATCTTCTATTCTGCAACTTACTTTTTTTTTTCCACGTAACAGTAGATTAGAGCTTGTTTCATAAGAGTGCATACAGAGCCACTGCATTCTTTCATGGATACATAATCTGTTGTATGTATTTCTTTCTTCAGTCCTCTTATCAATGAACATTTAAGTAATTCCCAACCATTCTCCTTTCTTGTTTGGCTAATACAAACAATGCTGCAGTGATCATCCTTATACATACACCTTTGAGCACTTTTGTAAATATATTTGTAGGCTAAATTCTTAGAAGTGGATTAACTAGGCCAGTTAATGTGTTTTCTAAGTCTTGATAAATAGAAGCATCTCTTTACACATCACTAGCCTTGTATTCTCTGCCCAGAATAGATCGCATACCCTCACCAGCTCTGTGTATTATCAGACTTTTTGCTCTCTGCCAGTCTGACTGGTGATAACTAGCATCTTGCTTTCATTTGGCAATTCTTTATCATTAACACAGTTGAGCATATTTCCCTATGCTTATAAACTTTTTTTTTTTTTTTAAGCTATCTCTGTATATTTAAAACAAGATCTTAAATCACTCATTTCCGTGCTGCCAGAAAATTTTGGTCATGTGTTGGATTGCTGCCCCCGTATAGTGTGGGTCAGGACCTCAAAGAATGGGGCAGAAACAAGCTGACCTGTTAGTGTCGTCTCACTTTCTTTGAAGAAACTGTCTGAGGTTTCCTGGGGAGGCTGGTCAGAAAGCTGTCTTCTTCTGGCTTGCAGAACTGATTGTGATAGTGTCCTGTATTCCAGTTAAAGGTGATGAAAGGTTTTCTATCTTTCCCAATAAATTATGAGACTTAACTATGGTGAGAATAAAAATGATACCTTTGTGAGAGGCAAAGCCCAAGGGATACAATTAGAAATTAACTTCTCCAGTTCCTATCAGAATTTGTATTTCGCTTACTAGATAAAATCTTCCATAAAAGCTAAATAAAGAAAAACTGGGGATGGAGGAGAAAGTGTGGTAAGAATAGCAACGGTTCCCCCTTCAGACCTATGGTAAATTATGTGGAAAATCTTACTTAGTATTGTAAGCTGGAGCAGCTTAGCCAGGAGAGGTAACCTGCACAAAATAAAAAAATGGAACAGTCCCTTTAGAAGCATTGCTTTCAGAAAACTTGGCAGTTCGCTGATGATCTGAACACCGGCTTGTCTTACTTTAAAAGAGTGGGTGGGATCCTGTCTTGTCACGGAGAAGGCAGTGCAATGGTGAATTTCCAGCATTTCTGGTTTGCAGGTGTAGTGGTGTTGAACACTTTATTTTGGAGCTTATTGGGCGCCTCCCTGACATGGAGATGGTGATCAATGTACGAGATTACCCTCAGGTTCCTAAATGGATGGAGCCCGCCATTCCAGTCTTCTCCTTCAGTAAGGTAAGTACAGGAAGAGCCTACGTGGAGGGGTGGCGGGGGCGGGGGAGTGGGTAGTCTTCTAGGGTATAAGCAGGAAATCGTTATCCTATGGCACAGTCTGATGTGTAATGGTGAAGTCCAGGAATGGATCCGTGTCCCTGTTTAGCCTCACAGTGGTTGAGCAGACTGAGGAGTTGGAGTTGAGGACCTGTAAGAAATGTAAGATTGCTTAAGTGTCTCTAGGGCTGGGGATGGGGTAGCGAGTGAAGAGCCTGAGGAACTTACAGGACATTGGAAGTAGGTCTCAGAGACGCTACAGAGCAATGAAGAGAGGGGCCCAAGTAAGCTCATGGGCTTGCAGTTAGAGAATGCTTCATTCAAAAATATTTGTTGGGCTCCTACGAGGTATGTATGTATGTATATATATATGTGTGTACATATATATGTATATATATATATACATATATGTGTGTATATGTGTGTGTGTATGCATACATATATGTATATATATGTGTATATATATGTATATATATGTGTATATATATGTATTATATATATTAGCCACAGTGTTGGGTGTCATCTGTCCTGTCTCTCACTGTATCCGAGGAGCCCAGCATGACTAGTAGTGAACCAAAAAGTGCCAAATAACTCCATATAGTTTGTGTGCAAGCATTGTACTGAGGGCCAAGGGGGATACATTTGGAGTATCTGAGAGGGAAACGTGAGGGGTGATGTGGAGAAGTGGGGTAGCTAGGACAGACGTGAGGGCTTGGAGAACTTGGGGCAGTTGATACCTTCTCATTGCTCAGGTTCATGCGAATGATGCACTGACAGGAGTGCTGCTTGGTTCCCTAGAGACTAGGCATGAAAGCATTTGGTGGTGGGGGAGGAGGGTGGAGGGCCTAGAAGACAGTGGGATGGAAGAGTCTGTGGGAGAAAACCCCATGGACTTTGGGGAAAGGAACACCATCTCTCATCTCCTTCCTCTTGCGCAGAGGGACCATTTGTCCCGACTTACTCTTTATCACAGTTTACTTTCTCTCTAGACTTGTTTATTTGCTGTTACAAGTGGGCCGAGGCCATGTTTGTGTTGCATTTCCCATGATTTAGCCTCATTTTTCAAAAGTGCTTGGTCCCATTGTTTGTGGTGAAAGTCTCCCAGAAGAACAGTTGAGGCTCCATGTAAGTCAGTAAGGACATTTATGTTTGTTACTTGTTGTTTCTGTTGGTAATCAAGTATGAGCATCACTATACTAACTTTCTTTTCATCTTTACTTCTACTGTTTTTTAAAATCAGTGACTCCTAGTTTCCAGGGGAGGGATTTTAGTCTGTCAACTTGATAGTTAACTGTGCAGCTTTTATTGAGCAGTTGTCATGAGGTGCTTGATGAATCACATATAATTTTTCAAGTACTTGAGAAAAGGCAAATGGCGAATTGTACATGTAATTCCAATGGAAGAAACAAAATCAGAGGTTTATAAGTGTGCAAAGTTTTAACAGAAGTAACCATAAAAAGAGAATAAAATGGTTTTAAACCATTTTTAAAAGATGTGGGATAACACCTCTTCCCCCAGTCCTGCCCACGGGTCCTTCTGACCCTGATCAGTGAATAACCAGGAATTTACTGACCGACTCACGTGAGTGCAGCAGTGCCACAGTGACCAAGAGCAGATAATACAAGCTAACACTTAATTGAGTACTTACTATTTGCCAGGCACTGTTCTCAGTGTTCTATATGTATGAACTTGTTCAATATTCAAAGCAAGCCTATTAGGTAGGTATGAGATAAGGAGACTGAGAAAGGTTAAGTAACTTAAAGTTGGAAGAGATAGAATTGGCATTCAGATTCATGTAATCTGTCTCTAGAGCCCACGCTCTTAACCATTGCATTGTATTTTCTAGTGCTTTCTCTCACAAGACCATCTAGGAAGTAACCAAGAACTGGGTAAGGCAGTTTAAACTCCAAGTGTAATAGGAGTTGAAAGATGAGAGAGCTCATTCAGAATTGGGTGTATTATTTCCTTAAACTAAAAGCCCTATCAGTGTTTGTGTCCTCTAGAAAAATGGAACTTTGGAGAACTGAAAAGGTTAACACTTACCATGATTTCAAATTCTGGGATTCAGTGAACCCCGTACATTTTAATCCATGGCCACTTTTACCTTTTAATGTTCAGAGTCTAGACTTTACAGACTAGGGAAAATGTATCTTTGGCAAGGTGACAGTAGAGCAAGGCCTTTGTCCAGATCGGGTGGTGTGAACGCAGTTTAATTCTTCTCACTTTGTTCCAAGACTGATTTGGAATTACCTTTTGTTTCTGTTGAAGACATCAGAATATTATGACATCATGTATCCTGCTTGGACATTTTGGGAAGGGGGACCTGCTGTTTGGCCAATTTATCCTACCGGTCTTGGACGATGGGACCTCTTCAGAGAAGATCTGGCAAGGTAAGTCCTTTAGAGAGTTTTATTTTTCCATCTTGGTAGGTCTTGAAATAAGCAGCAGAATATAAAAAAAAAATTTACTTAAAAATGAGTAACTTTCAAATTAAAAAGCTGTTTATAGCATAAGCAATTTTGTATGTGTATAAAAATATTTACATATCCATAGACAAAAAGCAGAAGAACCTCCCCTACAACATCAGCAGTGCCTTATGTTGAAGAAGTATTGGAGCCTTTTGTTTGCTTCCTTTAATTTTTTTCTGTGCTGTTAAGATTCTCTAGATAAGAATGAATTACTTTCATAAGTAGGAAACATGAATGACCGTGTTGTGGGGAGGATAGAAAATTACTTGAAAGAACATAAATGTACTTGATAACTTAGAGCTAAGTCTGTTGGGTGGGACTGTTGTTATTGTTGTTACGTGCTGTTGAGTTGATTCCGACTCATAACCACCTCATGTGACAGCATGACTGCCCTGTAGGGTTTTCTTGGTTGTAATCTTTACAGAAGCAGATTGCCAGGTCTTTCTCCCACAGAGCTGCTGGGTAGGTTCCAACCAGCAACTTTTCAATTAGCAGTGGAGCACTTAACTATTGCACCACCAGAGCTCCTTTTGGCAGGGATACCAAACCAAAACCAAAGTCACTGCCATTGAGTCGATTCCGACTCAGCAATCCTGTAGGACAGAGTAGAACTTGCCCCATAGGGTTTCCAAGGCTGTAAATCTTTTTTGTTTTTCCTTAATTTTTTTTGTTGTACTTTAGATGAAGGTTTACAGAACAAATAGTTTCTCATTAATCAGTATACATATTGTTTTATGACAATGGTCAACAACCCCACAACATGCCAACACTCTCCCTTCTCAACGTTGGGTTCCCTATTACCAGCATTCCTGTCCCCACCTGCATTCTAGTCCTTGTTCCTGGGCTTTTGTGCCCCATTAGTCTCGTTTTGTTTCATGGGCCTGTCTAGTATTTGGCTGAACGGTGAACCTCAGGAGTGACTTTATTACTGAACTAAAAGGGTGTCTGGGGGCCATAGTCTCAGGGTTTCTCCAGTCTCTGTCAGGCCAGTAAGTCTGGTCATTTTTTGTGAGTTAGAATTTTGTTCTACATTTTTCTCCAGCTCTGCCTGGAACCCTCTGTTGTGATCCCGGTCAGATCAGTCAGTGGATTGGTAGCCGGGCACCATCTAGTTGTACTGGACTCAGTCTGGTAGAGGCCGTGGTAGTTGTCCACTACTCCTTTGGACTAATGTTTCCCTTGTACCTTGTTTTCTTTATTTTCCCTTGCTCCCGAAGAGGTGAGACCAGTGGAGTATCTTAGATGGCTGCTCACAAGCTTTTAAGACCCACATGCTAATCACCAAGGTAGAATGTAGAACATTTTCTTTATGAACTATGTTATGCCAATTGAGCTAGATGTTCCCCGAGACCATGGTCCCCACAGCCCTCACCCCAGCAATTCGGTCCTACAGGGAGTTTGGATGTGTCTGTGGAGCTTCCATGACCTTGCCTTGTACAAGTTATGCTGGCTTCCCCAGTATTGTGTACTGTCTTACACTTCACCAAAGTTACTACTTATCTATTGTCTATTTAATGTTCCCGCCCCACCCCTCCCTTCCCTCATAGCCATCAAAGATAGTTTCTTTTTGTGTATAAACCTTTTCGTGAGTTTTTACAGTAGTGGTCTCATATAGTATTTGTCCTTTTGTGATTGACTTACTTCACTCAGCATAATGCCCTTCAGATTCATCCATGTTACGAGATGCTTCGCAAATTCATCATTGTTCTTTATTGTTGCATAATACTGCACTGTGTGTATGTACCATAGTTTGTTTATCTGTTCATCTGTTGATGGGCATCTGGTCGTTTCCATCTTTTTGCTATTGTAAACAGTGCTGCAGTGAACATGGGTGTGCATACGTCTATTCGTGTGACGGCTCTTGTTTCTCTAGGATATATTCCTAGGAGTGGGATTGCTGGATCATATGGTATTTCTAGCTTTCTAAGGAAGCACCATATTGTTTTCCAAAATGATTGTATTCTTTTGCATTCCCACCAGTAGTGCATAAGAGTTCTGATCTCCCCGCAGCCTCTCCAACATTTGTTATTTTCTGTTTTTTATTTGTGCCAGTAATGCTGGGGTGAGATGGTATCTTATTATTGTGGTTTTGATTTGCATTTCTCTAATGGTTAGTGATCACGAGCATTTCCTCATGTGTCTGTTGTCCGCTTGAATATCTTCTTTGGTGAAGCGTATATTCATTCCCTTTGCCCATTTTTTAGTTAGATTATTTGTCATTTTGTTGTAGAGGTGTTAAATTTTCTTGTAGATTTTAGAGATTAGACCTTTGTCTGATTCGTAATGTCCAAAAATTTTTTTCCAGTCTGTGGGTTCTCTTTTTACTCTTTTGGTGAAGTCTTTGGATGAGCATAATTGTTTAATTTTTAGAAGATCCCAGTTATCTAGCTTATCTTCTGGAGTTTGTGTGTTGTTTATTATGCTTTGTATCCTATTAATGCCATGTATTAGGGCCTCTAGCGTTGATCCTATTTTTTTTTCTGTGAACTTTATAGTTTTGGCTTTATATTGGTCTTTGATCCATTGTGAATTAGTTTTTGTACATGTGTGCGGTATGGGTCCTGTTTCATTTTTTTTGCAGATGGACATCCAGTTTTGCCAGCACCATTTGTTAAAAAGACTGTCTGTTCCCCATTTGATGGACTCTGGGCCCTTGTCGAAGATCAGGTGACCATAGGTGGATGGATTTACACCTGGGTTCTCAGTTCTGTTCCATTGGTCAGTGTGTCTGTCGTTGTACCAGTACCAGGCTGTTTTGACTACTGTAGCTGTATAGTAGGTTCTGAAGTCAGGTAGTGTGAGTCCTCCTACTTTATTCTTCTTCTTCAACAGTGCTTTACTTATCTGTGGCTTCTTCCCTTTCCATATAAAGTTAATGATTAGTTTTTCCATCTCTTTAAAGAACGCTGTTGGTATTTGGATTGGGATTGCATTGTATTTGTAAACTGATTTGTGTAGAATTGTCATTTTCACAATGTTGAGTCTACCTATCCATGAGCATGGTATGTTTTTCCATTTACGTAGATCTCTTTTGGTTTCTTGCAGTAGTGTTTTATAGTTTTCTTTGTATAGGTCTTTGACATTCCTGGTTAGATTTATTCCTAAGTATTTTATTTTTTTAGGGACTATTATAAATGGTATTGTTTTCCTGATTTCTTTTTCATCATTCTCTTTATTGATATATAGGAATCCAAGAGATTTTTGTATGTTTATCTTGTATCCTGCTACTCTGCTGACTCTTTCTATTAGTTCCAGTAGTTTTCTTGTGGAATATTTTGGGTTTTCTACGTATCGTATATCTTCTGCAAAAAGAGACAGTTTAACTTCTTCATTACCAATTTGGATGCCCTTTATTGCTTTTTCTTGCCTTATTGCTCTAGCTAGGACTTGCAGCACAATGTTAAATAGGAGTGGTGATAAAGGATATCCTTGTCTTGTTCCTGTTCTCAAAGGGAATGTTTTCAGCCTCTCTCCATTAAGAATGATGTTGGCCATTGGTTTTGCATAGATGCCCCAAGGCTGTAAATCTTTACAGAAGCAGATTGCCACATCTTTCTCCTTTAGAACCACTGGTGGGTTCGAAGAGCTGACTTTTCAGTTAGCAGCCAAACGCTTCAAACACTGCACCACTAAGGCACCTTTGGGCAGGGAGAGGAGCACATAAATGTCCTCTTAGCTGTCTCAAGTACAGAGCTTATTCCAGATCATCACATGACTGGATATACCTTGACCTCTTGACTCCATCCTGCCATTATATCAGATTTCAGGTTGTCTAAGGTCACTATGAGTTGGAATCAACTTGATGGAAACAGGTTTAGGTCATCCTTGGCAGCACAGTGGTTAAGAGCTATGGCTGCTAACCAAAAGGTCGGCAGTTTGAATCTACCAGCTGCTCCTTGGAAACCGTATGGGACAGTTTTACTGTGTCCTATAGGGTCGCTATGAGTCGGAATCAACTTGACAGTAACAAGTTTCTTTTTATGTCATCCAAGCCATAGGTATTTCTTTACCTAGCTACATTTTACATAAATGATTCAAACAACATTGACACTTAAAGAGCTTCTAGAAACAGTCTTTATATAGGTGTTCTTTCAGATACGAAGAAAACAGTAATTTAATTCCACTTTATTTCCACAAATACATATCACCAGTAATCTGTATTATTGGCTAGCATCTCTAGAGGGATAAAGTGATAACAAAAGGGAACATAATCCAAAGCAAAACAGTTGTTCTCTGTTCACCTCGAGCAACAGAGGAAGAAGGAGAGTCAGGAATAGGAGGAGGATATGGAGTTTGTGGCTACTTGCCTCCATGAACACCTGCCTCCTTTGCCATGAGACCGGAAGAACTGGATGATGCCCAGCTACCATTACTGAATATTTTGAGTCAAGATTCTGTAGCAGCATCCTGATCAAAGGGGGAACATGCTGAACAGAATTTTGAACCTCCAAAATTATTGCCCTGAGATAATTTTTAAACCTTAAAACAAAAATGTCCCCTGAAGTCTTCTTAAAACCAAACAATAGTTTAGCTTAACTAGTAAAAGTCAGCCTTGAGCATTATGCTCTTTTAAGAACTAGCTATATGGAATCAAATTGACAACAGCAACTCAAAAGATTAGATAGGAACTTTAGAGGGTAGTGAGTTTATGTTAATGGGGAGGAACAACTCAGAAAAGGAGGGAGAGAATGGTTGTACAATGCAAAGAATGTGATCAGTGTCACTAAATTGTACATGTAAAAAGTGTTGAATTGTATTTTTTGTTTTAAACTGTACTTTAGATGAAGGTTTACAGTACAAACTAGCTTCTCATTAAAGAGTTAGTGCATGTATTGTTTTATGACAATGGTTGACAACCCCACGACATGTCAAGACTCTCCCTTCTCAACCTTGGGTACCCTATTACCAGCTTTCTTGTCCCCTCCTACCTTCTAGTCCTTGCACCTGGGCTGGTGTGCCCCTTTAGTCTCATTTTGTTTTATGGGCCTGTCTAATCTTTGGATGAAGGATGAACCTCAGGAGTGACTTCATTACTGAGCTAAGAGTGTTTAGGGGCCATACTCTCAGGGTTTCTCTAGTCTCTGTCAGGCCAGTAAATCTTGTCTTTTTTTGTGAGTTAGAATTTTGTTCGACATTTTTTTCCAGCTCTGCCCAGGACCCTCTGTTGTGATCCCTATCAGAGCAGTCAGTGGTGGTAGCCGGGCACCATCTAGTTGTACTGGACTCAGTCTGATGGAGGCCATGGTAGTTGTGGTCCATTAGTCCTTTGGACTAATGTTTCCCTTGTATCTTTAGTTTTCTTCATTCTCCCTTGTTCCCAAAGGTGTGAGGCCAGTGGAGTATCTTAGAGGGCTACTTACAGGCTCTTAAGACTGTAGACACAACTCAGAATTGGTGTATGTTTTGTACATTCTCAACAACAACAAAATAAATAGAATTAAAAAGGGGAGGGTGGTACATAATATCATTTAGGGCTTTTTCTTTTAAGTAGAAAAGTAGCTTTCACAAGCTTATTTTAAAATGTAAAACTCTGGACTAAGCTTCAGAAATGGTTAAAACACATCCTATATAGTTAACAACAACAAGAAAGTATAGAAACTAATCAAATCCATTGTTTTAGGTCAGCAGCCCAGTGGCCGTGGAAAAAGAAAAATTCTACTGCATATTTCCGAGGATCAAGGTGATTATATTTTCTGACATTTTACAAAGATATTCTTGCAATTAGTGTGTAAAATATTAGCAACTTTGAGGGTATGAAGAACTCTTTGGCTCAAAAAGAAAGCAAAGATAGCTAAGAAGTAAACATAGAATCACAGAATTTTAGACTAGAGGAGAACACAAAGTATTTGCTTATATCACTCTTATTTGAACTTAAGTTCAAAGAAGTAAAGTTCATCCATTCAATCATTCAACAAACGCAAGAGTGCCACGAGTGTGTTGGGCATTGACTGTACAGCGTTGAACAGCACAGATGGGTTGTCTGCTTGCCCGAGAGCTTACAGTTTCCTGGGAATAACTTATGATCTTGCTCACTATCATGTTCCTAGTTAGTAACAGAGCAGGAATCATCTAGATCTCCTTGCTGCCTTTTTCATCAGATCACGTGACAGCCAAATCATGGTTACCACAGAGTGAGACTGGTAAAAATGGAGAGGGTAGGGGGCAGGAAAGAGAGGAAGAGAAAAATGGAAAAGGTTAGGTTTGGGAAGGACTCTGTCTGCCTTGTTCAGTTCTATATCCCCAGCACCTAGAACAGCCCCTAGCATGTCAATACACAATAAAAATTTGTTGAACAGATGAATAGAAAAGAGACCATAAAGGGAGTTCAGTCCCCTGAACTCTAAGACTTTAAGACTTGTAGTTTGCAGAGTCCTTGGCTGAGGTTACACCCTCTATTTGCCCTCCGATTTACTTAGACAGTGGCCTTCCAGATGCAGATAGGCTGCCCAGCCACTGCTTATCAACTTCTCTGATTCTCAGATCTTGAGATCACAGATTCTTAACTTGGGGTCCGTGTCTGGGCTTCAAGAGTTTTAGGACCTCCTTGAAGTTCTTTGGGGTATGTGCATTTTTCTAGGGAAAGGGTCCACAGTTCTCCTCAGATTCACAGGGGGGTCCATGACCCCTCAAATGTCAAGACTAGGATTTTTTCCACATACAGTCTTCAGGTTTTTAAGCCCTATAGTTTTTTTTTTTTTAAATATTATACTGGACTTTGCAGGGTATACCCAACAAAGGTCATGTAGCTATTTTGGTGAGTGGTGATTACCTCATCACACAGCTGGAAGTACCAGTGATTTTAGATGCCATATGAACCCTCCCTCCTAAAGGGGAAATGATTCCCGGGTTGTAGTGACCAGAACAACATACCGTTAAAGACCAGATGAAAGAAAGTAGGGCCAAACACTCCCCTCCCTGCAGGATAAAGTGGGGAGCAGCACAGGACGACCTAGATGCTGCAGTTCCCTGTATCCTCCTCCTCTGCTGTCAAGTGTCCAGTGAATGGTCCGCCTCTGTGTGCAGTCATTGCATTGGGTTCCTCGTACCACTCACCTTTCAGTGACTGCGAACGGTATCGTGGTGTAGACCACATAGTTTTATGTCATGTGTTTCTTTTATAGGACAAGTCCAGAACGAGATCCTCTCATTCTTCTATCTCGGGAAAATCCAAAACTTGTTGATGCAGAATACACCAAAAACCAGGCCTGGAAATCTATGAAAGTAATCACCAGTCATCTGAATAGAACTACAGCAGTGAACATTCTCACTCAAAGAACATTGCCACCTGGGAGAATTTCTTATTAGGTTTCCCTTCAGTGGTGGGATGAATTTTAGAGAAAGTTCCATGGATCAGTATTAGCACAGACGTAAATTTTTCTTTTTCAAACTTACATTGCTTTTCTGGCCCATGTCATGACGAGAATATTATACTACTTTGAAGGTTTAAACCAGAGGTCGGCAAACTTTCTGTGAAGGGCAGATAGAGGGAGGAAGTATTTTGGGATCTGTGGGTCATAGGAACTGCAGCTCCTCAGCTCTGCCATCATAGTGCGAAAGCAAGCAGAGGCCATGTGTCAGCAAACGGGCGTGGCTGTGTGCTAACAAAACTTCATTTGCGGGCACTGACATTTGAATTTCACGTGATTTTCACATGTCATGATATTTTCTTCTTTTGATTTTTTTTTCAAACTTTTAAAAATGTAAAAATATTCTTAGTTCATAGGCTCTACAAAAACAGGCAGAGGGCCAGATTTGGCCTGGAGGCTGCAGTTTGCCCATCCCTGGCTTAAACCCATGATTCTCAACCCTGGCTGCACAATACAGCCAGAGAGCTTAAAAAAAAAAGATGAATTAAATGAATCATGATCTCTGGGAATGGGGCCCAGGTATCTTCATTTATTTAAAGCTCCCCAAATGACACTGAAGTGAAGTGACACTGAACTGAAACAAGGACATTTGGTTTAGAGTCCATTTCAGTCCTCTGAACTGTGAGACTTCTTGCCCTAATCAAAGACTTTAAGCCCTAAATGTCCTCATCGGAAATTTCCACATACCATATTAAGGAAGTTATGAGAAAAAGCTCTAAACTTCTTGAGGGAAAAACTAAGTATATCTGAGATGCATGAGTTACTTGATACAGTTTTGATAGAATGTGCAAATGAAGTTTAAGAAACTTCATTACATAAGTTTAATGAAAATATGAAAAAATATTAAATATCTTTGTTTCATATATTAGTGAAAATATTTTAAAAATATATGAAAAAATATATTCATTCAACAAACAAGCTGTTTGCATTTACTACTGGAGGCTGCAAAGGCAACCAAATTCATTTAATTCGTTTTTTTTTTTCAGGGCTTCAAACTGGGTCTTACCAGTTCAGTCATGGCCAAGGAAGCTACAGGAGAACAGACCCAAATTTTTTAAAATTTGAGTGAACCAGAACCATAATTGGAATGGGAAAATTACAGGTCAAAACCCTGCTAGAAACTTAATCCCCTCTTAGAATAAAAGGGCAGCATTATGCATCACATAGCAAGCAAATCTCTTGCCCGTTGGATTCTGTGCAGAGTCCGAAACGGCGGTGCCCAGCTCAAAGATGGTGGTTGACCGTGCCACTTTGAATGTGTGTTGTTCTCCTCAGTCCTGGCAGAAATCCAATCTCACTCATCGGGCTCCTGAAAGGGCTCACTGTGCCTCTTCCGAGTCTCCCATTCCACGGCTTCGAGCTGTAATTTTTCCTATTCTGGTTATGGTTCTGGATCACCCAAATTTAAAAATTCAGGTCTCTTCTGGTTTTGCTTTGTCGGCCATGACTTAACCGCTTTGAACTGGTTTGAAACCCTGTTTTCTTTGAGGCTCGTTTCCCTCATCAAGGAATTTACCATCTACTGAAGTGGATGGATGAAATGTATAGGGGGTCTCAAACTCAAGTGCCCGCAGGGACCGGCAGGTGATGTAAAGCAGTGGGCTGGAGCCCCTGGAGGGCACTAAGAGTTCCTGTGGATTGCTGCCAAGTGGGAATGGGAGCCCAGTTTGGCAGATCTTGTTTTTCAAGGAAAGTTGGAAATCTGGATTTTTGCAAGAAATATCCTACCATCTAAGATGTTGGCAGTGGTTTGAATATTTACTTTTAAGTACTTTGCATGCCCAACCAAATTTGTATGAGGGCTACACCTCTAATCCCACCAGCCACTATTTGTAGCCCCCTGTGTAAATGACTGACGTAGAATGGCATGTGCTATAAGCCATGACCTGTGAGTTCAAAAGAGGGCTATGTGGCTTTAAAAGAAAAACCAAACCCATTGCTGTCAAGTTGATTCCGACTCATAGCAACCCTAAAGGACAGGGCAGAACTGCCCCATAGGGTTTCCAAGGAGCACCTGGTAGATTCGAACTGCCAGCCTTTTGGTTAGCAGCCGTAGCTCTTAACTAATATGCCACCAGGGTTTCCTATATGGCTTTAGGGAACCTTAAACTTTAAAATCAGATAGACCCAGGTCAAAACCCTATCTCTTCTACTTGGGGTCGTATAACCCTGGGCAAGTCTCCCAACTTCTTGAAGCCTTGGCTTCTTCATCTGTAAAATGGGATAGTAATGCGTTTTGAGTATGTTTACTGTGAGGATTAAGTGAGGTAATGATGAAATGTTTAATATGATGCTTGCAGCACAGTGGTCTTCAGTAAATGCTTTTACTACTAATACTAAAGATAATAACTTCCCTTTCGCTAAAAGGATACCTTGGGAAAGCCAGCTGCTAAGGATGTCCATCTTGTGGATCACTGCAAATACAAGTAAGGCTTCCAGGAATACTGACTCTCTTGATTTCCATATTTCTTTTGAGTTAGCTTCATTTTGGGTGAGAACTTTAATGCTGGGGCCAAGCTGGATTTATGAAAACCAAACCAAACCCGTTGCCTTCGAGTCCATTCTGACTCATGGCAACCCTATAGAACAGAGTAGAATTGCCCCACAGGGTTTCCAAGGAGCAGCTGGTGGAGTCGAACTGCTAACCTTTCGGTTAGCAGCTGAGTTCTTAACCACTGCACCACCAGTCACTTTAATTCATTTAGCTGTTATTTACTGAGGGCCTACTGTGCATGAGGCTGGGACCTGAGCTCTTTGGGGACTGAAGAGATAGATGAACATGGCCCCTGCTTCCAGAGAGCTTGTGTGCTGATAATCAAAGGGATGGGATTGCCTCTCTCCACACCCCTCCCACCCAGTAGTTGAAGTTAGATGACATATTTATCAGGTTAATAAAACAGTTCATGGCTCACCATGAGTAAATTATTTAAAAAAAAAGCCATTGCAGTTGAGTCAATTCTGACTCATGGCGGTGGCCCAAGTGGTTTGTGATTGGCTGCTAACCTAAAGGTTGGCAGTTCAAACCCATCCAGCTGATCCACAGAAGAAAGGCCTGGTGAACTGCTTTTGTAAAGATTATAGCCAAGAAAATCCTATGAGCAGTTGAGTAAAGGGTATATAATTAAAATGTTATAATTAACTGGCAGGACTAAGAAGTAGATGAACAAGTAAAACCAGGTCAGGAGGTGGGTAGTGGGAGAATTCAGAGAGGTGAAAGTTGATTACCCTGAACCGTGTCGGGGGCCACTGGGTAAAAACGACTCTGGAGACTAGAGTGCGTACATGTTGACACAGATGCTGAGAAGAAAATGTTGTTCTTTTCTAAGATACGTTTTATCCGGGGGAGGGGGGCATTTCTTTGGAGACTGATCAAACATACCAGGTCCTCTCCTGACCTTTGGAGAAGTGTGAGATGTGCAGGGAGCAGGGGATGCCTTTGACCACGTGGGATGCCCTAAGAAAAGCAAGGCTTTGGGTGGCCATGACGAGTTAGAGATACTGAGCCTGGAAAAGCTTGTGGAAAACAAGATCCATCTGCACCTTGTATCCTCTCTACACAGCACCAACTCCTGACCCCATCAGCTCTGCCTGCAGAAAGTACCCCCTTTTCCCCTCACCCTGACTTTTCTTTCCAGGAATAACCTGTAGCCCCAGCCTGGAAAAGTGAGGAGTTGGTGGAAACCCCAAAGGGGCATACTAATGTGCCCTTGAAGGTTGGAAATGGAAGGAAAAGGGAGAGGAGGCATAACGGAGAAGGGAGGGCAGTAAAGAAGGCCATGCCCACAGCAGCAGGCATGTATTCCAAGTGCATTTTGTTTTTTCCTTCCCAGGTATCTGTTTAATTTTCGGGGTGTAGCTGCCAGTTTCCGGTTCAAACACCTCTTCCTCTGTGGTTCACTTGTTTTCCACGTTGGTGAAGAATGGCTAGAATTCTTCTATCCACAGCTGAAGCCGTGGGTTCACTACATCCCAGTCAAAACGGACCTCTCTAACATCCAGTAAGCAGCTCTGCCCCGTGCTGCTACGTCCCTAGCCATATAAGTCATTTACTCCTGATGAGTTTTTTCATTGAAAACTTTTCTTTTTTGATTCAAATATGCATCATTGCATTATCATCCAAGCAGACTGCAAGTGAGATTTAATTTGAAGAAGTGCTCAATGCTGGTACCAAACAATGTTCAGTGTGAAGTGAGAAAGCTCTCATCTTTCAAAGAGTAAACACAGGTGTATTTGATCTGGTTATATTGTCAAAGAGACTTTCAGATCTAGCATGAGCACTGGTCACAGTGAGGCTGAGCACATTTCCTCTCATGATGGGGGGATCCAGGAAGAGGTACGGGAGAGGCCCAAGTTCCCTCTTCCTGTGGGCCACCGCAGGAATTTGGAGAGAGGAGTGACATATTTTTCTTCACCCTTCACTTTTGATGAGTATCCTTGAATGTTTCGGTGTCTTCTGATATGTCCCAAATCTGCAACAGGTTGCCCTTAGCCTGTGTGGGGGACTTTTTGTTGTTATTTTGGTCCTGTGAGGACCCTGATACCTTTGCTGAAAGGAAACAGTCCACCAACGCACATCTAGAGGTTAACCGTAGGCTTCAACCTGTTGTCTTTCTGTTATAGTATTAATGAGCTTGGTCCGTATGTCAGACTCTAAGAACTCTTCCCATTTTAGGGAGCTGTTGCAGTTTGTAAAAGCAAATGATGATGTAGCCCAGGAAATTGCTGAAAGGTAGGTTCTGTTCCTTTTTCCTTTCTACTTTATCATCCTTATTTTGCCTCAGCTAAAGTTATCTGAATGTTACCATGGTGATATTCAGATTTCGTCCTCATTATACAAAGATAATTCAGAATTATAGCTCTTCTAGAGGAAAAAATGTATGCACACATTCACAGACACCCCGAATCCACCCTTTATAGAAGTAGATTGAAATCTTTGAGGTAATTAAACAAGCACCTTTTCTGAGCATTGGCTGTTTATGTTTGTTTTTAAGAAAAAAAAAAGTTCTCTATTGCTAAATGCATGTGTGTGAATATGATGGCTGTAGGGTGAGTTGTGAGGATCCAATGAGTTAATTCATAAAAAGTACTCTGGATAATGCTTGACGCAAGGTGAGCACTCAGATGTAGGCTGTTATTATTAAACGCCACTTTAAAATGTCTCTGTTTACCTTGTTTCTAGGGGAAACCAGTTTATTATCAACCACTTGCAGATGGATGACGTCACCTGTTACTGGGAGAACCTGTTGACTGAATACTCTAAATTGCTGTCTTACAATGTAACAAGAAGGAAAGGCTATGATCAGATTATCCCCAAAGTTTTGAAAACTGAACTCTAGTAGGCATCTTAGGTCTGTAGTCCTTGCTACGGCCGCTGGACCTCACATATGCTGTGGTGAGGCGCTTACCATGAGCATGGTACCTGTACCTTGAATACCTTGTAACAAACCATGTTGCACCCAGAGCAACTCTCCAAAAAGGTCCAAACATGTATAATACAGATAAGAAGCAGCTCAACTCTGGCTGAGTAAGAGCCAGAAGTCAGGAGATGTGGGTTTGGAACCCAGTTCTACCTTTCATTCTCTTAGGACCAGTCACAGCTTGTGCCTCAGATCATCCCCACGTGTTTGTCTATCACTGTGAAACTGACTGTCCACCTGAAGATGGCCTTTGTCCCATGACTTGGAGCAGAAAAATTCATCCTTTGGGACTAGCAGAACTCATTACCACAATTCTGCAGTTATTCTAGGCTTGATCTCTGTCGCTACATTTTAATGTAGGAAGCCCTTTGGGGTTTGTGAAAAGCACTTGGAGATCATTTCTTGAAAGGTCTAAGGAAGCAGTGGCGGTGCCATGCAGTGATCTAGGAGCTGTCTTTTGTAAAAGCGTGAGCTCTCTGACTCAGGAGATTTCTATAATGCCACATAGGAAGGAATTATTGCAATTGGACTTCAAGATCCCTTTTTGTGCCTTCACATCCTTCTTTTTATTGTCTCTCTAAAGAGGAGAAAAAAACTCGTAATAAATTCAGGCAATAGTCTATCAAGGAACCATGTGTAGAACAGCTGCTCTTCCCTACCCCTCGTACACCCTTAGTACTTTTCCTTCAGTTGGCAGCAGTAGGTCGTCCTCACTCTCAGTGTCTTGCAGAGACTTCAAGGAATCCTCAGATGCGAACTTGTCATTAAGTTGGGAGCTTAGTGCTTTCAGTTAGAGAGGAGATATTTGTTTTCATACAAGTCCGTGTTGGAGTGTCTCCTTTTTCCTTTTTTTTCCCGCCTTTAAAAAAAAGACGTTTGGATATTAGTTTTATCTTTCAGAATGCCTCTCCCTAACATAGTCAAAAATGAAGAAAAATTTTTAGGTGAAAACCCATGTAGTAGTCTGAAGACTTAGAACCATCCTTGTCCATTAGGCCCAACCTTTTCACAGAGAAATCAACTATTTCCTTTGCCTCTTAAGAATTATTTGGTATGAACTGGTTTCTAAATTAATAAATTAAGTAGAATTTACTCAGTTAGCAAGTTACTGAATGAATAGATTCAGTCACATAAAATCAGGGATTTGATTCCATTTGTCAGAAATGTATTTGGCCGTTTTAACTCCTTTCCACAAAATTTTTTTAAGTTTTAGGACCTTGGAGTTGAATATGTAGGTAAGGTCATTGCATGGAATGAGACAGATGTTTAAAGTTGGATTCTTTTTTTTTTTTTTTTGAGTATTAAAAATTCACAGGGATTTTGTCCTTAGGTGCTATAAGTCCGTAGATAGGCACTCTAGATTTCTGAGCTGTACTGTGGTTTTGCCTTGTCAGTATGAGGCCCTAGTATGTGTTATCATTGTCTCTCACTAAAATAGTAGTAAAATTTGCTGTCCTTTGGATTACGAGCTGAAATTGCATTTCCCTTGGAGCGTTTCCCATTTTGCTTTAAAAGTTCCAGCCCAAACATCACTTCCTCTCTAAATCCTTTCTTTCACTGCTTTAGGCAGTTAGGGGCTACCATAATATTTTCCTCATGCCTGTGCAATATGATACCACATTGTGCTGTAGTTATTGGACTTCTTGATGTGTAGGAATCATGTCGTAGTCATCTTGATGTCTCCATTATCCAGCACAGTGCCTCACACAGAGTAGATACTAAAGAACTGTTGGTTGCGTGAGTGGATGGATGGATGGATGGATGGATGGATGGGTGGGTGGGTGGGTGGGTGAGTGGGTGGATGGAGATAGTTGGCTTAACTAGATCCCTGTTTATTAATTGCCCAGCCATTGGCTCCTGGGGGGGTGGGGGGGGGGGGATTGGACAAGGCTGTTAAGAACTGGATCAGTGCAAATCCTCACCTGCCCTATGAAGAGTTAGTAATGGCATCTTTGTATTTATTTAAATGCAGAAAATGTTATTCAGATTTTGTACTTGTTTATCTCTTTACCTCAGTGTAGATGGTATAAGGATGGGGTATAAAATATGTAAAATACATGTTTTTGAAAATAATTTTTATCCCCATAACTTTTGAGAGCTTTTTTTGTTGTTAATACAAGCTGGGTCCCAAACATACCCTTTCCTCCTCAAAGAGATAAAGCCCATACTTTTCTTCAAGGAAAGAGAATAATTTGGTTTATTTGAATGAAGTGGGATACTTGGATAACACAATTAATGCTTTTCTTTTATTTTGGGGGCATCATCTGTGTGATGTTGTCTACTGTTTTAGGTCAAGTTCTCCTAGTTGCCAAGAACAGAAACTGCCTCCAGCTAGTTTAAGCAAAAGAACTTACTAGAAGGATATGAGGGCATCTTGCAGACTCTAAATATGTTTCATGCCATAGGAAGGGTAGATCAGGGCAATCCAGGAATTGCAGCAAAAGTTTTGGATTGTCTCAAGTGCTGCTGTGCTATAGTTTCAAAGGCTTCCAGGCTCTGTCACTCAGCCCAAAATTCCTAAGAGAAAAAAAAAAAAACACCTAATAGACTAATTTACTCTCTGCCCCAGACTGATTATAAACAAGAACACACAAAAATAAGTAAAGCCCATCTTCCTACGCATCTAAAGATGGCTTCACCTAAAACAATCCTACTGCATTTAGAGGTAAGATGATGGGGGGTGGGGCAGAGGGGTACAGTTACAAATTATTCATTTCATATTTGTCAAATAATTCATGAACATCTGCTATGCACCAACAGTGAGATATTAAGAAGTGTATAACATGCTCTCTAATAACCTCAAGGGACTCTGTAGTTTAGACAGAGTAAATAACAATGTGAGAGGCATCATAGGCTGAAAGTGATTAAGGCAACATGAGTACCAATTATTTATAAAGACAGTATGGATTTGAAGTTTAGAGGAAGAGGAAATTTCCAGCTGGGGCAGATGGGAAACTTCATGGAGATAAATTACACTTTGAAGGATGGGTAAATGAAGTGGTCCATGGAATTTTCAAAATTCATTCTTTCTACCTGTGGAAATAATTTATATCACATATAATATAATACAATATGTGTAGCAAGGTCCGTACCTGGAGAACCTGGCAGAGCAAGGGGACCTACTGGCCCCTTGGAGAAAATTTACTATGGAGAAGCTGCTGGGTTCTCTGAGCAGGACTCAGCAACAAGTGCTGTTAGTGGGAGAACAGTGGGTGCAGGGACAGTGTGGTGTATTAAAAATGAAACAGTTTCTTGAAAATAAGAGTTTTATTCAGACTCAAAAGATCTGCAAATTGAGAAGCACCAAAGTGAAAGTTCAAAATGGCGTTCCAGAAAGGGGGCATAAGCACAGGTTCTTTATCCTCAATTTTGCAGCTCTGTACAGAGTTCGGAAAGAGTACAGGGGTACATTTGATTGGTTGATATTCAACATACTCCATAAGACTAACTTACCAAGAATTCATATTTGCTGAGGTATTCAACCTTACCCTCAGTTTCCTGTATTCCAGAGCTGGATCCTGCAACAATCTGGGGAGGCCACCTCAGAATGTTGCAGAGCTAAGTTACCTTGGTCAAGAGTGTGGTCATGGGTCATGGACTGTAAAAAGCAGAAGCAGGGGCTAGGACAAAATGGAGTACGATTCAGACCTGTGTCAGCCATTTTAGTTATGTCAATGCCTCAGTTTTAGAGTGCTCTTTCACAGGTAACTATACTGAAGTCCTTCCCTGATGGAGTTTCTCTGGTGGCAAATGCACACTCTGGGGAAGAGGGCTGTGTGTGAAACATAGAGTGGCCCAACTGAACCCCATAATACCTTTTGGTTTAAGCAATTTTGCCATGATACCCTTCAAAGGAGTCCTGGTGGTGTAGTGGTTCAGAATTCAGCTGCTAACCAAAAGGTTGTTAGTTCAAATCCACCAGCTGCTCCTTGGAAACTCTATGGGGCTGTTCTAGTCTGCCTTGTAGGGTCACTATCAGAATCAACTGAACGGCAGTGGGTGCCCTTCAAAAAGAGCAGACCATGGAGGAAGGGGAGTATTTCCCTAGCTGTAGAAGGTAAGCTCCAGGGGATTAGAGAAGTTGAAGGGTGGGAGGGTGATGAGGAAGTAAATGACAGCCTGAAAGAGCCAAGGTGGAACAGCAAAAGTGAGCAGTGGCCAAGGGCCCGGAGACTTTCTTGAGGTACAGAATGGCAAAGGGAACCTTTTAAGTGAGGTTCCTGTCACTAACTCCAGAAGGGAGCTATGGAGTTAGTGAAATTTGCCTGTTAATATGACCTTGTTTATATCTACAGGCTAGTGATTTCTGGGGAGTTTGTATAAATGATTTCGTTAGTATCTGCCCTGCCCTACCCTTCCTTCTTACCCAATTTGGGCCCTCCCTCATCCCTGAGTACTTCTGGGGTCTTCTTAAGTTTTTCTGCACGTGGGCTAGAAAGATTGCACAGCCATTTTCTCGGGCTTTCAGGCCTTGGGACTTATCCTTGTGCCCACCGCTGCCTAATATGGGATAAGCAGCATCCTGGAGCCGGGGCCACGAGTAAGGGTGTCTGAATTCTTCATTGAAGATCTACGTGCCAGACACCGTGCTAGGTCCTGGAGAGACCGAGATGGATAAACGTGTCTCTAAAAGTTAGTCTACTGAGATCAGTAAATAAACTTGATGCAGTGTAGTAAGCGCTATGACAGGTACTGAATTTAATTCTGTCTCCCTGACACCAAGAGAAATCTTCGTGGCCGTGGCACTAATTCAGCCGTGTAATCCTAGTCATCACTTCCCTGGGCCTCACCTATAGAATTTCGTTACCAAGTTCCAGGATTCAATTTACTGCAGTCTTTAAGGGACGTGGCAGTTTATCCACTCTGGTGGCACGTGTCTGAATTACATCTAGAAAGAATAATGGAGAGTGAGAGAATTAAGGAAGTATGTTTGGTGACGAGCAAGGATTAAATGAAATTACACACACCAGTTCGAGAATATTTTAAATGCATGCATTTTGATAAAAACTATAGCTCGAAACATAAGTTAGCAGAGGCTGTAGCGACAGGATATTACTGCTGGGCTATCAAAACACCTGATAGAAACTCCAGAAATCAGCCTGCCGTTTGAAAAGCAGTAAGCGTATAAACTAAGGGAAGTGAACTCCACCCTGTGAAGACTTGCCAAAAGCTGCTGCTTCTTTTGAACATATTTCGGAAATCTCGGTGTTAACTGACATCACGAACCTTCTTCAATGCCTTTGCCCCTGCCGTTAACCAGATCTGACGGAATATAAATGGAACCCGCCCACGGAGGGAAAGGCTTCCAGTGCTGTACCACGGTGGGTTAGGATTTCATTTGCCCAAATTGTCCTTCTTCCTGTACTCCACCTGCATTGAATACTGCACTTCATCTACCTGGGATTTCTGACGTATTAAATAAGCAAAATTACTTCAGCTGGTAACCACCCCTGGCCAACTGAAACAGCCCCTGTCCTGGTTTCCACCGACCTAGGCGGACCTGGACACCGGGCGGGGAACGAAGCCGGACGGCACGGGCGCTGGACTCGAGCTGCCCATTCACTTCCGGGTGAGGGCCTAGCAAGACTGCGAGCCCGTTCCGCCTCCACCCGGAAGTGCTTTCGGTTTGGTTTCGGCTGTTGCCCCGCCCCTTGGCCTTTGCCATCAAGGGGGCAGGACTTCCTGTCTCGTGTGCTAAGGGCTTCCAAAGTGAAGTCGGACCTTTGAGTACGCCTCCCAAGGCGCCTGCGGGCGACGTTGGGGCCCTGAGGCTCGAACGTGTGTCTGTCCGCCAGTGCGGAAAGGGACATGGAGAAGCCTCCGACAGCGCCACAGAGCTACCTCCGCAGGGCGTTAGGTCTTTTCCCCCGGGTCTTTGCTGCCGACACTGTGGCCGCCGACTCAGAGGCCCCTGCGGAGGGGCAGAAGCTGTCTCCCTACTTCTCAGAACCCCATTACCCGGAATCTGGATGGGACCGCCTCCGGGAGCTGTTTGTTAAAGAGTAAAAGTGCCTAGGGTCTGTGGGGAGGGGCAGCGACCGATGTGTCCTTCAGCCTGGATAACCCTGGGCGAAGGACCCCTGGGTGGTATGGTTTATTTTTTAATGGATTTGAGGTTCTAATGTTTGAACCCTAAGCATGTATTTTGACATTGCCATTTGGTGGTTGATTGACAGACCGATTTTCAAATGGTAAGGGGCAGACGCGTTAAAAGAGCTGTTGGGGATATTTAGTGTAATCTCATTTTACGTACTAGAAAAGTGTGCCAAGCTAGTTAGTGGCAGAGCTGGCCCTGGAACCCGCACCTCCAGTTGATCTCAAACTTGGTATTTCTTGACGTGTAAGCCCCCACCCCACCCCCGAAAAATGAGTGTTGGTAAGGGAACAGGGTTGTCAGATATTTTTTTTTTTGCAAAAAAAACAAAACCCACTGCTGTGGAGTCGATTCCGACTCATAGCGACCCTATAAGGAATCAAAAATACTAGCAACTATTGTTTCATCGTTTTGTAAAAGAAAACATATTAACTGGTTTGAAAAATAAAGGTGTTATTTCAGAATAAAGGATAACCCGTTAAAGGATAATTCGTTAACCCGAATTAATTTTATCTAAGAAAAAACTCAGAATAGTTCATTAGTTCCTTCATGTATTCATTCATCACTTACTGGTGAAAACTATGCTCTGGACCAGCTTTCATGAAGTACTTTACCATACTCTACAGTGTTCTCAAAATGATTAGATTAAAATCGAAGCTTTATTAATGTTGCTGAGATAGTTGAGGGCAAGAGAGCTGGTGGTGTTTCATTACTTCAGGTATTTAAGTTTCATCTTTCTTTTAAACATAACGAGGCAGTCTTTCTAAGTGGTCTTTCCAATATTTGTGATGCTTGTGAAAGACCTTATGTAGTATATAATAGAAGAAGATTATTTTGATCATATGTATAAAGCACAGAATGTGGGAGCTTAAAGAAACAAAAATTGAGCGTACCTTCCTTGCTCCCCTCTGTGTCATGGATTAGGAATCCAGGGTCTAGAGAGATTGTGATGTGGTTGCATGTCACTTAGCAGTGAGTGACGGAACCAGGACTACGACCCCATAGTGTGGTCTAGATTATAGTCTAGATTCTTACAGTCTAGATTTTTTCCGTCGCTATGCTAATTTTTTTTTTTTTCCTTCACCATTCCTTAGCCGTTTGGACCAACCATATAACTTCTTAGAGCCTCTATTTTTTTCATCCATAAAATGGAGGTGAATAATTGTTCAGAGGGTGAAGAAGAGGCAAAGTATATGTATCTCCTGGCCTATTAAATCTTAAACTCTTTACATTTTTTTTTCTGAGTCCTACTGTTGATAACAGTTTTAACGTAAATGTCTTTTACCTTATTCACTATGTAAATAGTTCAAATTATAGCAGTTTTTCGTATTGATGTAACTATAAAAATTAGTTTTCTAAGAGATTTTATTTAAATTTCTCATAGATGCAGGAACTCTACAGACCCATTGATTCAGAAGTTTTGTGTGCAGACTTAGAAGTTTTGTGTTTATTGACCATTAGAGTTAAATAAGCACTTGTAGGGTCTCTGAAGAAAGCAACTTAGTAGTTATACATAACATTGAGTGCTTTACTTACCTAGTAACACTTAACAAATGTAGCGATTTTATTTAGAGCAGTTCTAAGAGACTTTCTTCAGTTCTGTTTTCTCATGCATTTGGGGGCAATAAATTGAACTAAAAATTTTAAACAACACTGTTTGCTTGGTTTAGATTGGTCTGTGCTGCCCACTGCATAGTTAAGAGTTCTTACATGCTTTTTACTCTAAGCCTTTTTTTTAAATACCAGGTTTTTATTCTTGCAGATATTGTCCTAAAATCTCGTGAATTTGTGTAATTTCTAAAAGTTAGTTTGAAATTCAAGAAGGAAAATATCGGTCTGTACATCCAACTCACAAATTCTTCCTGTTCCTAGGGGTACGGTATAGGGGTAATAGTCATCAAAGAAAAGAAACTTTTAAAAAATCTTTTTTATTGGAATATAGTATGCATTTAGAAAAATGTACATAGCAATATTAATCAATGAATTCTCACAGACTGAGCGTACATGGTAGCCAGTACCCAGAGAGAAAGACTATTACCAGCATACCAGAAGCTCCCCTTTGTATTCTTCTAGTCACTACCTATCCAAGACTTACCACTATCCTGATTTCTAGCAGCATAGATTAGTTTTACCTTAAATTTGAGCTACTTTTAATATAACTGCACTATTTAATTCATTAGAGGGTTTAATTATGCCCATAATAAAAAAGGTATCTACGTGCTGATGTTAGCATCTGGGATAATACTGATTATGATGTGTTTTGGAGAGCAGTATCCATAAACTAATCCCAAACAACATTGTCTTTTTGGTGTTTTAGTGAACAGCAGAGAACCTCTGAAGAACTTCAGAATATTTATAGGGCGGCAATTTCAGCAGGCATCATTGGCTTTGCGTATGGGGGAATACCAGCTTTTGTTCATGCTAAACAACGCTACATTGAGCAGAGCCAAGCAGAAATTTATCATAACCGGTTTGATGCTGTGGTATGTACTGGTAGTCTAATAGTGTTTTGGGGCACACCAATAATTTAGTTAGCGCTTAATCATTCAGTTAGTTCATGGGGTTGAGAAGGCCTAGGATGTCAGAGTAATAACAATGAAGTACTGATGCTAAAATGTGTAAGGGTGGCTGACATCCTTTCCTTGACTTTAGAATGGGACATGTTTGGGATCACCACTATGGCTCTTCCTTCTGAAATACATTTCTACTCCCCTGAAAAATCAAGGCTCAGCTGTAGCATGGAGTATACTATACGAAGCAAACCAAACCGATTGTTGTCAATTCGATTCCAGCTCACGGCGACCCCATGTGTTACAGAGTAGAGCTGCTCCATTGGGTTTTCTTGGCTGTAATCTTTACAGAGGGCCTTTCTTTTGCAGTGCCACTGGGTGGGTTCAAACCACCAATCTTTAGGTTACTAGTAGAGCACAAACTTTGTGTCACCCTAACTCAAACTAGAACAATAGTTAGCATTTATGTAGAAATCAGTCTTAGAAGAAATACAACCAGAGTGCTCCTTAGAAGTGAGGACAGTGAGACTGTCTTGCTTACTCTGGACACATTATCAGGAAAGACCATTCACTGGAGAAGAACATCATGTTTGGTAATGTAGAGGGTCAGCGACAATGAGGAAAACCTTCAAGGAGATGTATTGACACAGTAGCCTCAACAGTGGGCTAAACTTATCAAAGATGATGGAGATGGCAGAGGACTGGCTAACTTTTCATCCTGTTATACATCAGGTCGCCGTAAGTCAGAGCTGACTCAATGGCAACTAACAACAACATGGAGAACTTTACAGTTCACAGAGTGCTAACTCATTTGTTATCTCATTAGATGTGCACATCACCTGTGTTGTATAGGTGAGGAAATTAAAGCTCAAAAGTTTTTAAAAATTTTTTCTTTTGAAATTATTTCAAACTTACAGAAAAGTTGCAAAAATAGTAAAAAGAATTCCTGTATACCTTGTAGTCAAATAACATGCCTCCAGCTCCCTTGCTCCCAGCTATCTCAGCAACATAATAAAGTTTCAATTTTAGGTCTTCTTGAGAACATTCTACTACATCTGCTTTATCATTCTCTCTTTGTATAATATACACTTATTTTTTTCTGAATTGCTAAAGAGTAAGTTGATGCAGTATTTCAATGTGTATTTACTAAAACTGGGACGTTCTCTTACATAAGCGCAATATAGTTGTCAAAACCAGGAAATTAACGCTGATACAGTACTATTAGCTATAGACCTTATGTAAGTTTTGCAAGTTGTCCCACTAATATCATTTATAAAAGAGAAAAATACTTTTTTTCTGGTCTGGGATCTAATACTGGACCACACATTGCATTTGGCTGTCATGACTCCTTTGACTTAATCTGGAACAGTTGCTGTCTCTTTTCGTCTGTCATGACCTTGACATTTTTGAAGAGTATAGGCCATTTATTTTGTAGAATGTCCTTTAACTTGGATTTATCTGATGTTTCTTCATGATTAGTTTCATGTTATGTATTTTGGCAGGAGTATGATAGAGTTGCTGTTGGGTTCTTCTTAGTTCATCATATCAGGAAGCACATGGTATCTATTTGTCCTTTTACTGGTGATGTTTACTTTAATCACTTGGCTAAGATGGTCTCTGCCAGGTTTATCTGCTGTAAAGTTACTATTTTTTCTCTTGGTAATTAATCTTATGGGGATATACTTCGAAACTATGTAAGTATGCTGTTTTTCACCAGATTTCTCCCATCTAGTTTTGGCATTCAATGATGATTCTTGAAACAATTATTCAAGAATGATTCTTGAAATAATGATTACTATGATGCTACCAAATAGTCATTTTCTAATTCTAACATTCTTTCTACATTTATTGCTTATACTCTGCTATGAAACCAAAACCAAACCCATTGCTGTTGAGTCAATTCCGACTCATAGCAACCCTATAGGACAGAGTAGAACTGCCCCATAGGGTTTCCAAGGAGCAACTGGTGGATTTGAACTGCTGACCTTTTGGTTAGCAGCCAAGTCCTTAACCACTACATGACCAGGGCTCCATATTCTGCTATAAGGAAGACTTTTTCCTTTTATTTATTTCTTTTGAGAGTTCTAATCCATTACTATCACTACTTATTTTGATACTCAAATTGGTCTACATCTGGACAGTTGAAGCCCCTTCAGGTTAGCTCCTGTGTCCTTTTGATATGTCCCCATTTTTCTTTGAGCATGTCTTTATTTTCTGGCCCAGCAAGATGTTCCTGGCAAATCTTTTACTCTTCTAGCTTCAGTCCTGAAATTAGCCATTCCTCCAAGGAGCTCTAGTTTCTTTTAGTGGAGAATAGTATTTAGAAACTTAGATCTAGGTGCTTGATGTGTTCATTGCTTCTAAGGTATCAGTGCTTCTAGGACCTAGGCAGATAGAGTTAGGAAGTGTGTGTGTGTGTGTGTGTGTGTGTGTGTGTGTGTGTGTAACATACTCATTTATACACATATCTAATTTCTGTATTTATTTATTAAAAACCATGAGTTCATACTGATACCACTCAGAGAAGTTTTAACTTGCCCAAGATCTTACAATACCTAGCGATTCTTTTAGTTTCTTTAAAAATCCAGAATTTACCCTATAATATACCAAACTTTCCTCATGATGGTCTAGTGAAAATGGGCTGTGGAGACAAACAGACCTACCTTTTAGTTCTGACTTTATTCCTTACTGCTGGGTGATGTTGGTTAGAAACGTCCTCTCTAAGCTTCGGTTGGAGCCTGGAGGTATAGTGGTTAATAGTTTAGGCTGCTAACCAAAAGGTCAGCAATTCGAATCCACCAGCCACTCCTTGGAAACCCTATGGGGCAGTTCTACTCTGTCCTGTAGGATTGCTATGAGTCGGAATTGACTCCACGGCACGCAACAACAACAAGAAGCAGCAGCTTTGGTTAAAACTGCCTCGGGAATGTAGTAAAATTAGATGACATAGTATATAGAGGAGCCTTGGCGGCTCAGTGGTTAAGATCTCAGGCTGCTAACCAAAAGGTTGGCAGTTCTAATTCACCAGCTGCTCCTTGGAAAACCCTATGGGGCAGTTTTACTCTGTCCTATAGTGTTGCTATGAGTCGGAATCAACTCAATGGCAATTTTTGTTTGTTTGTTTTAGTATATTAAGACACCTTTAAAATAGAAGGTAACAAAAAAACACCAAACCCATTGCCACTGAGTTGGTTCTGACTCAAAGTGACCCTGTAGGATGGAGTAGAACTGCCCCATGGGGTTTCTAAGGCTGTAATCTTTATGGAAGCAGAGTGCCACATCTTTCTCTTGCAGAATAGCTGATGGGTTTGAACCACTGACCTTTCGGTTAGCAACCAAGCACTTAACCATTGTGCCACCAGGGCTTCTTCAGTAAATATTAGTTCTTTTTTCTCAGTTCCTTTCTTGCGCATCTGTATTACTTTAGTCCTTACCTTTTAATTTAGCACTGACTTAGTTGTTCTTTATTTTGTTGTTCTCTCCTCCCTGAGATTTCTTTACTATAGAAAGCCTGTCTGATACTGGTTTTATATCTGTCATGGTGGTTGGCACATAGAATCTCAATAAATACCTAATTGAGGATTCTTGGTTGCTTTTCTATCTCCTGGTAGAATTGGATGCATGTGGTACTATTGGCTAAGTCTCAATCCTTAAAGAAGGATATTTCTAGGGATTTTCCTTAGTATGCTGGTTATTTCTATCCGTTTGGGTATACCTGCTGAATCCACAGCTAACATTCTGCCTAATCCATAGCTGACATTTCTCTACCACAGTTTAAGAAGAAGAAGAGTGTCAAGGTGTGTTGGAACCTCACAATCTGTCTTAGTCATCTAGTGCTGTTTTAACAGAAATACCACAAGTGGATGGTTTTAACAAAGAGAAATTTATTCTCTCACAGTCCAGTAGGCTACAAGTCCAAATCAGTGCGTCAGCTCCAGGGGAATGCTTTCTCCATTGGCTCTGGAGGAAGGTCCATGTCATCAGTCTTCTTTAGGTCTGGGAGATTCTCTGCACAGGAACCTCAGGTCCAAAGGACGCGCTCTGCTCCCTGCACTGCTTTCTTGGTAGTATGAGGTTCCCGTGTGTCTCTGCTCACTTCTCTCTTTTATATCTCAAAAGAGATTGGATTAAGACACTATCCGGTCTTGTAAACCTCATCAGTATAACCTCATCACTGATAGAATTTACAACACATAAGGAGATCACATATAACCTCATCATAGTGATAGAGTTTACAACACATGAGGAAATCACATCAGATTACACAGTCATAGAATACTGGGAATCGTGACCCAGCCAAGTTGACAGATATTTTTGAGGGACACAATTCAGTCCATGACACAGTCTTTTTATTTCCTTTAGCAATCTGCCCATCGTGCTGCCACACGAGGCTTCATTCGGTATGGCTGGCGCTGGAGTTGGAGAACTACAGTGTTTGTGACTATATTCAAGTAAGTTATCTTTGAATCCTGAGAGAGGGTCCTTGTAGTCTTTTAGGAGCACATCTTTTGAGCAAATGGGTTTATAAAAACTGAACACCCACATTAAAGTGATTCATAATGCATTTTTCACAAGAACTTTGTCTGTCTGTGTTAAAGGCTGATCCGTTGTAGTTTGGCATCCATGGTGGAGATTTACCAGTTAGTCATTATTTTGATACAAGGCTTCTAAGTAAGAAAAATTTTGCAAAACTCTTCTTTGCATTTCTATGAAGTGAATATTTATTCCAGAAATTTAATTATTCTTTGGTTCATTCTTCAGCAGGAGAATGTCCACCTAGAAAACCCACAGGTATATTAGCAGTCTGGAACACATTGAGGGGATTTAGACTAAGACCAGAGATTGACCTAATAGGCTCCTCCAAATTAATACCTATCACTTTTAGGAGAACAGCAATCAAGAAGGTAAATAGAATATGCTGTAAATCTTATGGTTTCCTCCTCCTCCCTTCTTCCCAGCACAGTGAACACTGGTCTAAACGTGTACCGAAATAAAAATGCCATGAGCCATTTTGTCATTGCAGGAGGTAAGAGGTTTTTGTTCTTCTTTACATTTTTAATCTTTTCAAATAGGGTTTAGGAAATACGTAAGAACTTATAAATCAGAGCGACTGAATTCTTTGGTTAGTTTCCCATCACCTTTTATTCCACATTCTTGCAAAATATATGCATGGAGAGTATTGTGCTTGATCCTTGGTATTCGTGGTGAATAGAAGAGACATGGCCCCTGCCTTCATAGAATTTTATGGACAGTGTGGATGGGAAAAATAGGTTACTATGATAGAAAGTAACAAATAGATGGGACAGTGGAATCTAATGTAGACAGAGTGGTCAGAGGAGGCCTATCATAGGAAGTGACATTCAAGCTGATGCCTGAAGGAAGGGAAGGAACAAATCTTGCAAAGAAGAGTGGCCCAGACAGAGGGAACATCAAGGATGAAGACTCTTAAGAAAGTTCCTCAAAAGCTGGAACATAGTGTGGGGAAGAGTGGCTTGAGATGAGATTGATGAGGTGAGATAGGAAGGGGCCAGATTTTTCTTTGTTAAGAGTTTAGATTTTATTTTAAAGTTATCTGCCTCTGTTAGGTATGTTCTCTTTAAAATGAGCATTGAATTATTTCAGAAAATGTAAATAAAGTAACTCATATACATTCAAATCACTAACTCATGTACATTCTCTCACGTATAAAAACACATACTATGCTGAATGTAACATTTTTTAAAACTTTTTATTTGGAAATAATTTCAAGCTTACAAAAAGTTGCAAAAATAAAAATAACGCGGGGAACACCATATACCCTTTATATACGCAGATTCCACTATTATTTGCACTTCACCCCATTTGCTTTATCACTTGTGCTCTCTTGTTCTTGGGTACACTCTCTCTTTTTCTATGCATATGTATATACACACAGGCCAACACATATATATACATAATTTGAACTTTACATTTTAATAAAAACATTTTAAAATATAACAGATAGGCAGTAACAGCATTAGGGGGAAGAAAAACTAGTTGCTATTGAGTCGATTCTGACTCATGGTGACCCCATGTATTTCAGAGTAGAACTGCCCTCCATAGGGTGTTCATGGCTATGACCTTTTGAAGCAGATCACCAGGGCTTTTCTTCCATGATGACTCTGGGTGGGTTTGAACTGCCAACGTTTTGGCTGGTAGCCCAGCACTTAACCGTTTGTGCCACCCAAGGACCCTCTGATTTTTAACAGCGTTGGAGCAGCTAAATTTGCCTTTTTCTAATTTGCAAACATTTTTACATGAATATTTCCTAGGCTCAACTGCCTATATCCAAACCAAACTCATGTCTGCTGTCTCCTATCTCTGTACTTGCTACTGCTGTTCTCAGTCAGCTACCTCGCTAAATGCCAAAACCAGAAACTGAAGAATTGATATGACTCTGCCTTTTATTACCCCCTTTCCAAATTTCTAGTCCTATCAATTATACTCCTTAGACAAATGTGGAATCTCTTGCTTCCTCATAATTCCCACTGTTACTGTCAGGTCATCCCTGCATCTACTCTTGGTCTACTCCATCTCCACTGTTGCCTTAGTTACTTTTTTGAAATATGGATTTGATTATACCACTTCTCTGCTTGAAATTCTTCAGTAGTTACCCATCACTTTGAAGTCAATTCTTGATCTGGCCCCCACGTACCTCTCTTTTCCTCCAGCCTTATGAATCTATTTGTATTTCCCAAATCCATTATATTCTTGCTTTGTGTATATTGGTTCCTCTTATTGAACCCAGCTTCCTGCTCCTGCAGGTAGTTTTGTTCAGCTCCAGCTTTATCATTCAAGGTTCAGATCGTTTGTCATCCTCAGCTTCTGTAAGGTGTCCTCCCTAGCCTCCATTTTCCTATCTTTAGGTCTGCTTAGGCGTCTTTCCCCTGTGTTTCCATAATTTACTATAAATAGTTTTATCAAAACATAACACCATATTATAGCTGTTTAGTTGTTTTACTTCCCTGCTAGATGACTTACTTGAATTCAGAAAAAATGTTTGCCGTGTATATCACAGGCACTTGATACATAGTAGAGTAGAATAAATGTTTCTTGACTGAATGTAAAAATAATTAGTAAAATAAGAATATAAAATATATCTCTGATAGATTATAAATTTTTGTCTCAACCCAGCAGTCAACATCATACTTAATGGGTAACACTAGAGTAATTTCCCCTGAAGTCAGAATCAAGTCAAGATGTTACCCCTCACCATTATTATTTGGCATTGGTCTGACGTTCATAAAAATATATTTGATATCTGGAATGGTGAAATGAAGAGCTTGACAAGTTCTCTTCCCAAAAAGCAACAATAAAACAACAGAATTATAAAAAACATCTATCTAAAGATATTGGGAAATGACCAGAGACATACAACAAATTGAGAAGCATTTATTCGAGAATATCTACTGAATCTCGGTAAGAGCAGTGGTAGTCTGTGGAATTTTAGCCTGAGGCTTTTCCTGCCTTCCAGCCCACAGGTCCATGGTGCAGAAGTTCCGCAACGGCAGTGCAGGCCAGGAGGGCCAGCAGTTCTGTTGCTGGAGGAGACTTTATTTGGAGCAAAGCACAGAAAATTTCATGTCTAGAGTTGTTACTGAAAACAGCTAACCTGAGGTTTTGAGAGCCCTGGGAGCTATGGCTGCTAACCAAAAGGTTGGCAGTTCAAGTCCACCAGCCACTCCTTGGAAACCCTATGGGGCTCTTCTTCTCTGTCCTGTAAGGTCGTTATGAGTCAGAATCGACTCGATGGCAGCAGGTGTTTTGGGGCAAGTAATAAATCAACAGACCAAGCAGAAATTTATCAGGGTATCCAGGTAAGAAAACAGCCAAAGAGGACTTTAATAAGATCGCACCTATCCCTAGTGCTCTGGAATGCTGTGACATGTATAAGTATTCACGTACACTTGAAAGAGACGGGTGAGGGCCTTAGTGAGCTACTTGTCTTTGGCTGAATGTGAGACTTTGTGAATGCAGAAAATAAAAAGAAGGAAAGACTTGTAAACTGCATGAACTTTGAATGAATTACCTGAGCCACAGACAGATACATTGGCAAGGGGTCGGAGGCCTTACTGACTGAAGATGTTTAAGCACAACCTCTGATGAATCACTGGCTGATTACTAAGCTAGGACAGTTCCTAGGAAGCCAGACACAAAAATAAAAACTGAGCGGAGAGAATTTTCCCAGGCAAGTCACTGCATAAACAGAACCAGGTACACCACTGGGGGTTGGGGGACGTTCCAACTTCAGAGTTGCTAGAATATGTTATCTAAAATGTCCAATTTTTATCAACAACAATAACAAAAATCATAAGACATGCAAAAACAGGGAAAAAAAGCACTGGGACCTGTCTCAGAGGGGGCCCATCTGTTGGGTGTAGCAGACAAAAGACTTCAAAACAGGAAACCATGTGTAAAGATGACAGTGACTCAGTAAACAGAGAATTATTAAAAAAGAGGCAGAAATTATAAAAAGGAATCAAATGAAAATTCTGGAGTTCATAACTATACTGGAAATTAAAAATTTACTGGGGGAGAAGAGTTCAAGAGCAGATTTGAGATAGCAGAAGAAAGAATCAGTGAACTTGAAAATAGATCGATATTGATTATCCATTCTGAAAAATGAAAGAAAACAAATGACAAAAAATGAACAGCCTTAGGTATCTGTGGGACACCATCAAGTGTACCAACATATTTGTAATGGGAGTACTGAATGGAGAAGAAAGAAGGGCAGAAAAAGTATTTGAAGAAATAATGGCTATGAATGTCCCAAATGTGATGAAAAACACTAACCTAGACACCAGAGAAGCTCAACAAACTCCATAAGGATAAACAAAGAGATCCACATCTAGACATATAGTAAACTGTTGAAAGACAAAGAGAAAATCTGAAAGCAACAAGAGGAAAATTATTCATCATGTACAATGAAACCCCCCCCAGTTAGATTAACGGCTGACTTTTCATCGGAAATAATGGAAGCCACAGTGGGATAATATTCAAAGTGCTGAAAGGAATAAGTTGTCAACAAAGAATTCTATACCTAGTAAAACTATCCTTCAAAAATGAAGGCAAAATAAAGACGGCTAGATACCAAAGACAGGGAATTCATTGCTAACAGATCTCTCTTTCAGAAAATGCTAAAGGAAGTTTTTCAGGCTGAAAGTGACACCAGATGGTAACTTGAATGTACATGAAGAATTAACGCTGGTAAAGGTATTTTATGTAAGCAATTAGTAAAGGCAGTATAAACATATATTTCTTTTATTTTCTTAACTGATCTTAAAGACAGTTGTATAAAACAATAATTATAAAATTACACTGTTGGGCATATAACAGAGAGAGAGAAGGAATGGAGGTATACTGGAGCAGAAAATGACATCAGATAGCAACTTCAATCCACAGGAAGAAATGAAAAGTACCAGAAATACTAAATATCTAGGTTAATATAATAGATTCTATAAATCTGTATTATCTCCCCTTCTTTAAAATACTTAAGCGTGTATAAAGCAATAATTATAATATGTATTGTTTGGTTTCAACATATATATGTGCTTGTGTGTATATATATGTATGTGTAACATACATGACAGTAATGGCACAAAAGTGGAAAGGGAGTGAAGCTTTATTGGAACAGTGTTTCTACATTTTACTGGGTTTAAGTTAGTACTATCTAAAGTAGATTGTGATGAGTTAAGATGCATTTTTGTAATCCCTAAAGCTAGTAATAAGAAAATAAAAAAAATAGTAAGACCAGAAATGAATTAAATAAGATATATAAAAAGCAAATAACAAAATGGCAGACCTAAATCCAACCATGTCATGATAACAAACGTGATGAATGGATCAAACACTCCAATCAAAAGACAGAGAGTGTTAGACTATATAAATAGTTAAGAGACACACTTTAGGTTCAGGCCACAAGTAGGTTGAAAGTAAGAAGATGGAAAGAGATATACCAAGCAAGTAGTAAAAAAAGAGAACTGGAATGGCTATACTAATATCAGACAAAATAGACTTTAAGACAGAAAGTGTTACTGGAGACAAAGCAGGATGTTTTATAATACTAACGGGGTCAATCCAATGAGAAGATACAACAATTATAAATGCATCTAACCAGAGAGCCCCAAAATGCATGAAGCAAACCCTTTGAATGGAAAGGAGAAATAGACAGATCGACAGTAATAGTTGGAGACTTCAATATCCCACGTTTCATAATGGATAGAACAACTAGAGGGAAAATCAGTAGGGATATAGAAGACTTGAACAACACTATCAACCAGTGAGACCTAATTAACATCTCTAGAACACTGCCCAACGCTAGTAGAATGCATGTTCTTGTCAAGTGCACAGAAAATATTCTCCAGGCTAGGTCATACGCTAGACCATGAAACAAGTCTCAATAAATTTAAAACAATTGAAATCATACAAACTATGTTCTCTGACCTCAGTGGAATTAAAACAATAGAAAGGAATTTGGGAGATCCACAAATATTTGGAAATTGGACAACACATTTCTGAATAACCCCGTAAATCAAAGAAGAAATCACAAGGAAGATTAGAGAAATTTTGAGCCGAGTGAAAATGAAAGCACAGCATATCCAAATTTATGAATGCAGCCAAATCAGTACTTCCAAAATAAAAAAACCCAAACCCACTGCCATTGTGTCAAATCTGACGCATAACGACCCTACAGGACAGAGTAGAACTGCCCCACAGGGTTTCTGAGGCTGTAAATCTTTATGGAAGCAGGCTGCCACATCTTTCTCCTGTGGAGCACCTGGCGGGTTCGAACATGCTGACCTTCCGGTTAGCAGTCAAATGCTTAACTACTGCACCATCAGAGCTCCTTAGTCAGTACTTAGAGGGAAATGATAGCTATAAACACTTAGAAAAGGTTAAAGATCTCAAATGAGTAATCCAAGTTTCCACCTTAAACTAGAAAATAAAAAGTAAACTAAACCCAAAGCTAGCAGAAGGAAGGAAATAATAAAATTAGAGTGGAAGAGAACACTAACAGAACGCTTGTTTATAACACGAGAGCGGAAATCGCAGTGTCACTTCAGTCAGCCTCAGCTGGGAATGTGCACGTCAGCCAGCTCACATCTCTCGCTGTTCTGTGCTTGTCTACGAATGACTGGAAGTGTCCCAGGTATTGATTTTGGGGTTACAGATTCTAGGGAGTAGGCGAATTCACAAATAAGGAGTCTGAATAATGGGATCTACTGTACGTGAATATGTAGGTGATCTTTGGGTGAAGAGATATATAGATACATATTTTTAAAGTATAAAAATAAACTGTAGAAGAAATGATTAACAGATTTGACTGCATAAAAATTTTAAACTTATCTATATCATAAGTACCATATTGTTGTTGTTGCCATTGAGTTGATTATATGACTCCATACTATTAGAGACGCTGAATGATAAACACCAGAGAAATAATAATGTGTGCAGCTAACATGTAAAGGCCCTTGCATATCAGAAAGACAAGACAGCTCACTTGAAGACAGGACAAAGGACAGGAGTTTGTAATTCATAGAAGTAACACAGCTAACCTTTAAACCTGAAAAAACTGCATTTCTCTACTAATCAGAGAAGCGTAAGTTAAAATTTAATACCATTTTGACCTATCCAAGTGGGGAGGATAAAAACAGAGGATGCAGAAGAACAGGCATTCATATACTTTTAAGGGAAAGTAAATTTGTCCAACCTTTTTGGGTAGCAGTTTAGTAATTTAAGTTGAAAGCCTTAAAAATGTTTATATCCTTTGACCTAGAAATTCTGTTTTTATGAGTTCATCCTAAGGAAACATATTTGTAAAAACATTTATGTGCAGGGATTATCATTAGAGGCTTATTTAAAACAACCACAAATAGAAGTGTGTTGGTCAAAAATTGTGGTATCTCCATGCAGTGGAGTTGTAGGAAAAAATTAATGATATGGAATTTAGTAATGTGCTTGGTGAAAATAAAAATTCAGTATGTACAGCATGGCCCTGATTTGATTTGTAAAAATACTGTGTTTGGAAAAAGACAAGGTATATACTCGAAATTTGTTACTGTCTCTGGGTAATAGGATTAAAGATGACTTTTATGCTTATTGTGATTTTAGAAAGTTAAAAAATTAATATATACACTTTTCATAATAAAAAACCTCAAATATTATTTTAGACAATGTTTCATTGGTTGTGTTGGGCGTAGTGAAAGAGGATAATGAATGAACATGAATGCACGCTCAATCCCAGTGCGAAGAAAAGAGGTTCTATGCATCGGCCACCAGGTGGCACTGTAGGCCATATGGTGCCGGCTTGCAGGCCTGCCTGAGGGGTTTAGTGTTGAGCAGTACTGAAAGGGTGAGGCTGGGGGAAGGCATAAGCTGCAGGGGCTAGTGAAGATTTTTGTTTTTTCGTTTAGGGAAAGGTTTTCTTGAAGGAAGGAAAGAGGTGAAAGGGAAGAAATTGCAGATTTTTAAGGAACGTGAGCAAAAATGAAGCAAAATGAAAGATACTGGGTCCATAGAACATACTGAGAATTTAGCTTTGTAAAAGGAGCCCTGGTGGCACAGTAGTTAAATGCTTGGTTGCTAACCAAAAGATTGAGGCTTGGAACCCCCCAGCCGCTCTGCGGGAGAAAGATGTGGCAGTCTGCTTCCGTAAAGATTACAGCCTTGGTAACTGGATGGGGCAGTTCTATAGGGTTGCTGTGTGTCGGAATCGACTTGATGGCAGTGGGTTGCTTTGTAAAAGGGATGTTTCTTCATTTAAACCTGCAGAGTGAATGAGAAGCTAGCTGTGTTGGCATTTTAGATTCAGGAAATTGAGGCTGTGGTAGTATATTAATATTGGGTTCAGAAAGTTTACTTAAGGGTTTGTATCCTTTTTTAGGAGGATTTTTTAAAAATGGAATTCTAGTATTTAAAGATGACTTAATAAATTGGCTTTTTTTGTTTATTTTTAAATAGCTGTCACAGGAAGTCTTTTCAGAATAAACTTAGGCCTGCGTGGCCTGGTGGCTGGTGGTATAATTGGAGCCCTGCTGGGGTAAGTGTTAACGTGGTTTAATTCTAAATAGACACACCTTCCTTAGAGCCTATAAAAAGTCTCTAGACTGGGAAACACTACGGGCTGGCAGTGGGTTTTTTTTTTTTTTTAGACTGGGGTTGGCAGTAGCTTTGATTGTCCAATTCTAATGCTACCCCAATTGTTGATTTTTCTTCCAGTTTTCACTGGTAAAAACTGTTTAAATATCATTAATACCTGAAACTATTTGTGGTATGAAAAAGGTATTTATAAGGAAGCAGGGTAAAGGAATAAGAAACAGTTAACAAACACATTCTATTAAAAAAAAAAAAAACTTTTGAATTAGGTTTTGTTTATTTGATTGGGTTTTTAAATTTTTTATTTTTATGTTTTCTTCCCCAACTTTTTATTTTGAAAAAATTCAAGCCTACAAAAAAATTGGGTAAATTTAGTACATTGAACGCCCATATGCCCTTCACCTAGATTCACCAGTTGTTAACATTTTGCCATACTTGTTTTATATCTCTTTCTGTATATGTGTATGATGTGTGTGTGTTTGTTCCTTTTTCTTTTGGCTAAACCGTTTGAGATCTCCTGACACTGTACCCTCAAATACATGTATGTCTCAGGATGAAGAACATTCTTCAAGGAAATCACCCTACAGTTATCATGATAAATAATTTAACAGTGATTCAATACAACTGTCTAATATACAGGAGCCCTGGTGGCACAGTGGTTAAAGCACTCGGCTGCTAACCAAAAGGTTGGCAGTTTGAACCCACCAACAACTCTGTGGGAGAAAGATGTGGCAGTCTGCTTCCATAAAGATTTACGGCCTTGGAAACCTTCTGGAGCAGTTCTACTCTGTCCTGTAGGGTCGCTATGAGTTGGAATTGACGGCAGTGAGTTTTTGGTTTATCTAGTATATGGTCTATAGTAAAATTTCCTCAGTTATCATAATATTGCCCTTAATAGCTTTTTTTCTTTAATCCAGGATCCAGTCAAGTATTCTACATTGCAATTAGTTGTGATATGTCTTTAGATTCCTTTAAGCTACAACAGTTCCTCTGCCTTTTTTTTCCCAGAATGTTCCTCAATTTTATCTTATTGTCCCTTCATGATTAGTTTTATGTTAAATGCTTTTGGCAAGAATACAACATAGGTGAAGTTAATGGTTCTTCTCAATGTATCACATGAAGAGACATATTATGTCACCCGTTATAAGTGATGTTAAGTTTGATTTCTTGGTGTATTTGTTTCTATTGCTGTGTAACAAATTACTGCAGATTTAGCAGCTTAAAGCAACACCCATTTATTATCTCACAGTCCTCTGTAGGTTGGAAGTCCAGGTGGACTCAGATTGGTTCTCTGCTCAGGGTTTCACAAGACCAAAAGCAGGGTGTTGGCCAGACTGGGCTGTTATCTAGAGGATCTGGGAAAGAACCTCCTTCCAGCTTTATTCGGGTGTTGACAGAATCCAGTTCCTTGTCCCCATTTCCTTACTGGCTGTCAGGCAGGGACTGCTCTTTGCTCCTGGAGGCCAATTGCATTCCTTCTTGTCCCCTTCCGTCTTCAAACGAGCAACAGCCCATCGAATCCTTCTCATACTTCGAATTTCTCTGACTTCTCTGCTGCCACCGGCTGCAGAAAAGTATCTGTTGTTAGAGGGCTCACCCAGATAATCTCCTCTTTGATTCACTCAAATTAAACCGATTAGTAACTTTAATTACATCTGTAGTATCCTTTTTGATTGTAACGTAATCACAGGCATAGTATTCCATCATATTCATAGTCGGAAGATTAGGGCAGGAAATTTGGGGGCATTTTAGAATTATGCCTCTTACACTTGATTAAGGTAGTGTCTTCCCAGTTTCTGTATTACAAAGATCTTTTCCCCATTTTAACTAACAAGTAATCTGTGGGGTAAGTATGCAAATAGTCTGTTCCCCAGCTGTCTTTCACCTAGTACTTTTAACATTCACTGATGATCCATGCTGCAATTAGTTATTAAATGGTGGTTGTAAGATGTTGATTTGCTAGTTCTGTCATTCCTTCTGTTTTTATCAACTGGCATTCTTTTGAATACAAGAGCTTTCTCTTCCCTTCCAGCTACGCACCCCCCTTTTTTGAGGGGGGACACCTATAGACTTATGGATTCTCTCTCTTTTTTTTTTTTTTAAATTCAGCAAGTCATATTCATTGCTGACATTATTTTTGTTGTCATACTAATACACTAGCTGGATTTGAAGGGAAAAGTTGAAGTTAGCAGCAAAAGTAACTTTTAAAATGAGGGTACCTTAGTTGTAGAAGAGGGAATTTAAATTATATCAGATGCCAGGAGTTCCTTCTCTTTGAGAAAACAAGGACCAAATCCTCTGCAACACTGTAATAACTGTAATCTAAATGAGTGTCTCAGTGGGTTACTATTGGCATTTTGGGTACCAGACTATTGAATTTTAGGATGTTTTGGTGGCCCCACCCCCCACAGTCAGTAGCATCCCTTCCCTGCAAATCAAAAATGCCCCCTACCTTTCCAGTTCGTAAGGGGGCTGGTACCATTCTAAAACATTGATCTCATTTCTGAGAAGCCTGCGGTTTAGAGCTACTCACTAGAGCTTGACATAAATGTACGTAATTCCCTCCTTGTCCTTATTTATTTATCATTCATGATTTAAAAAAAAAAAAAAAAGACCAGTTTATAGATCTATTGTTGTTTATACCAACTAACTTTAGAGATTTTCAGTGATTGTTGTTCAGACCAGGAAGGAAATTGCCTCAGTATTTCTTTCTTTATTTGATAAGGATGCTTTAATTGTCAGATGTTCCCATAGCTGTTTATGAACACGTGGCTCAGTGGAGTTGCTCGTACCTTAGCAGAGACGCTCACATGTTGCTGGTCTAGTGGTTTTACCTTAAGCTCTCCCTCTGCTTTCTCCTCAGCACCCCTGTAGGAAGCCTGTTGATGATACTTCAGAAGTACTGTGGAGAGAGTGTTCAGGAGAGAAAACAGAAGGATCGACAGGCACTGCACGCGATGAAACTGGATGAGTGGTAAGGAGCATATTAAGTCTAGGGAATCTGACTTTTTTAGCCTCTTATGGTGATGGTCTGTTAACCACAAGTACTCTTAACTGCCACTCATTCGGAGAAGAGTTTATTTTCATTGAGTCCTTAAACTTACACCCTAAATAGTCTTTTTTTTTTTTTTTAAGTGTGCTTTGGGTGAAAGTTTACAGTTCAAGTTAATTTCTCATACAAAAATTTATACACATATTGTTATGTGACACTAGTTGCAATCCCTGTAATGTGACAGCACACTCCCCCTTTCACCCTGAGTTCCTGTGTCCATCCAACCAGCTCCTGTCCCTTCCTGCCTTCTCATCCTGCCTCTGGACAGGAGCTGCCCATTTAGTCTCGTGTATCTGCTTGAACTAAGAAACACACTCTTCATGAGTATTATTTTATGTTTTATAGTCCAGTCTAATCTTTGTCTGAAGAGTGGGCTTCGGGAATGGTTTTAGTTCTGGGTTAACAGAACGTCCGGGGACAATAGCTTCGAGGGTTCCTCCAGTCTCAGCCAGACCATTAAGTCTGGTCTTTTTACATGAATTTGCGTTCTGCACCACACTTTTCTCCTACTCTATCAGGGACTCTCTGTTGTGTTCCCTGTCAGGGCGGTCATTGGTGGTAGCTGGGCACTATCTAGTTCTTCTGGTCCCAGGCTGATGGAGTCTCTGGTTTATGTGGCCCCTTTGTCTCTTGGGCTAATATTTTCCAGAGTATTCTTCATTCTGTTTTGCTCCAGGTGGGTTGGGACAAATTGATGCATCTTAGATGGCCACTTACTAGCTTTTAAGACCCCAGATGCCACTCACCAAAGTGGGATGCAGAACATTTTCTTAATAAACTCTGTTATGCCAGTTGACCTAGATGTCCCCGTTTTTTGGTTTTTTTAAATAGACTTTATTTTTTAGAGCAGTTTTACAGAGCTCCCCTGCACACAGTTCCTCTTGTTGCTAACATCTTGTATCATTGTGGTACATTTATTATAATTGATGAGCCAGTATTGATTGTTGTTGTTGTTACTGTTGATTCGGTTTCTTTAATAGATACAGGCCTATTAGATTATCTGTTTCTCCTTGGATGAGTTTTATTAGATAGGTCCATTTCATCTAAGTTTTCAAATTTGTGGGCATGTTGTTGTTAGGTCCCGTCGAGTCGGTCCTGACTCACAGTTTGTGGGCACAGAGTTGTTCAAAATATTTCTTCATTTTCCTTTTAATGTTTTTGGGATCAGTTGTGATAGCCTCTCTTTCATTTTTGATGTTAGTAATTTGTGTCTTCTCCCTTATTTTTCTTGGTTATATTTTATTGATCTTTTCAAAGAGCTGGTTTTGGTTTTGTTGATTTCCTCCATTAATTTCCCATTTTCAATTTAATTGATTTCTCCTCTAATTTTTGTTATTTCTTGTCCTACGCTTACTTTCAATTTAATTTGCTCTTCTTTTTCTAGTTTCCTAAGGTGGAAGCTTAGATAATTGATTTTAGATTATTTTTCTTTTCTAATATGGGCATTTAATGCTATAAATTCCCCTCTAAGCACTGCCTTTGCTGCTTCTTACAAATTTTCATAAGTTGTATTTTTATTTTCATTTAGTTGAAAATGTTTTTTAATCTCTCTCTCGAATTCTTCTTTGACCCATATGTTATCTAGAAGTGGGTTTAGTCTCCAAAAGTTTGGGGATTTCTATCTTTCTGTTACTGATTTCTAGTTTAATTCCATTGTGTTCTGAGAGCATTCTTTGTATGATTTTATTCTTTTAAATTTGTTAAGGTTTGTATTATGGCTCAGGATGTGGTCTGTCTTGGTGAATGTTCCAGGTGAGCTTGAGGAGAATGTGTGTTCTGCTGTTGTTGGATGCACTATTCTATAAATATCTGTTAAATCCCGTCGATTGATGGCACTGTTCAGTTCAGCTGTATCCTTGGTGGTTTCTGCCTGCTGGATCTGTCAAGTTCTAATAGAGGGGTGTTGAAGTCTCCAGCTGTAGTAGTGGATTTATCTATTTCTCCTTGAAGTTCTATCAGTTTCTGCCTCGTGATTTTGATGCTCTATTGTTAAGTGTATACACATTTAGGATTGTTATGTCTTTTTGGAGAACTGACCCCTTTATCATTATTCAGTGTCCCCCTTTTTTTCTCTGATAATTTTCCTTGCTTTGAAACCCACTTCATCTGAAATTAAAATAGTTATTCCAGCTTTCTTTTGATTAGTGTTAGCATATTATGTTTTTCTTCATTCCTTTACTTTTAATCCATCTGTGTCTTTATATTTAAAGTGAGTTTCTTTGTAGACAACATGTAGTTGGGTTTTATTTTTTATCCACTCTGATAGTGTCTGTCCTCTGGTTGATACATTTAGGCCATTCAGATTTAAAGTGATTGTCGATATAGTTGGATTAATATCTACTGTATTTTTAATGGGGCCCTGATGGCGCAGTGGTTAAGTGTTTGGCTGCTAACCAAAAGGTTGGCTGTTCGAATCTACCTGCCACTCCGTGGAAACCCTATGGGGCAGTTCCACTCTGTTCTGCAGGGTCGCTATGAGTCGGAATCGACTCTACAGCAACGGGTTTATATTTTTAACTGTTTTCTGTTTGTTGCACTTGTTCTTTCTTTTTGTTTGCCTTCCACTCTTTTTTTTTATAATCCAGTATTTTCTTATATAAATTGAAAATACACACAAAATGTCATTATATCCATTTTGCATATAAACAAAAATACAAACATTAAACCAGAACAAAAAACTCACTGCTGTCCAGTTGATTCTGACTCATAGTGACCCTATAGGACAGAGTAGAACTGCCCCATAGGGTTTCCAAACCTGTAATCTTTTTTTTAAAATTTTTTATTGTACTTTAGATGAAGGTTTACAGA